TAACTTTTTGAATGTTCAGGAATAACTTAATGCCTTTCCACTTTCCACATGTTTCTCAGTCATAAGATTACAGTGCAGGGTGGGGGGGAATGGCATCCAAATTTCTGGCTCTTTATAAATTCTACAATTACATTGACCTGGATTATTCCCAGACAGAGCCACAGAAAATCTTGCCTCCAAACTCTGGGGACAAAGGTTGCATCCCTACAGACACTTTCTTAGGCAACGAAACTTAACTTCCGAGTAGGGGTGCAAGAGAAATTCACTTAAGTTTGCATTTAAAAGCAAATCACCTAATTCATGCTTTCTGAAACAGAAAACCAAAGCACAGCCATCCTTCGAAATTCGTGCTTTTCCAATTTTTTCAATGCATCTAAGTAACATGTCATCACCTTGCCAACAAAGGTCCGTATAGTTAAAGCTATGGTTTTCCCAGTAGTGATGTATGGAAGTGAAAGCTGGACCATAAAGAAGGCTGATCGCCAAAGCACTGATGCTTTTGAATTATGGTGCTGGAGGGGACTCTGGAGAGTCCCCTGGACTGCAAGAAGATCATACCTATCCATTCTGAAGGGAATCAGCCCTGAGTGTTCACTGGAAGGACAGATCGTGAAGCTGAGGCTCAAATACTATGGCCACCTCGTGAGAAGAGAAGACTCCCTGGAAAAGACTCTGATGTTGGGAAAGATGGAGGGCACTAGGAGAAGGGGACGACAGAGGACGAGATGGTTGGATAGTGTTCTCGAAGCTACCAGCATGAGTTTGACCAAACTGTGGGAGGCAGTGGAAGACAGGAGTGCCTGGTGTGCTCAGGTCCATGGGGTCACAAAGAGTCGGACATGACTCAACGACTAAACAACAACAACAAAAAGTAACGTGTAAGGGACTTGGGTGGTACTGTGGTTTATCACTTCAGCGAGAATTGGAGCTTCCAATCGACATCATCATGTCTTGTAATTAAGACATGCCAGAATTTATTGCTCTTAATAATCACTCACTTTTAGCAAGCCACAGTGACAGCCATATCAGCACATTATTTAAAGATCAATGGAAATGCTTCAGTAAGCTTACTCCTACTCATGCTAAAAAACAGATCTGAGGACAAGTGCATGACCCAGCTATTAAAATGCAAGAAGTAAATTAATTTCTCAAAATTATTAAACATTAGAGCTACCCTTGGGGAAAACCAGGGGGCTTGGGCATGCCTTGTGTGAATTTTGACTTTCCCCCTTCTAGTGAAAATCTTCCTGATGATACCATGGAGAGCTATTGTTTGAGGAAAAAACACAAATCCCCCTTGGAGCACATGGAACCAGTTGTGTTGTTCACTGAATCCTGCTCATGTCTTTCTTTTTCCATAGGCACAATTTCTATAGCAAACGATTCGTCCCAAATGCATGATCAACAGCAGTTGCTTGGACTCACCACCTCTGAAACTGGACATCTACTCAGGTGCCTAAATATGTCGCAAAAGTGTTTAACTGTGGACTAATCCACACTTAAACCCTGGATCAGTCATAATAGATCTATTTCCCAGCATGAGAAGGCAGCATTCATTCAGTGATTTCCTCTATCAGAGCTTCTGCACAGTAGGAAGCAATCTGTTTCCAAGAAGAAGCTTGGAATGTGTGGGGTACATAGTGATGGGTGATGTGCCATTGACAGGAGCAGTGAATGACAAGGCAAGTCAAAAGTGCCACGGATCAAAAGCAGAACACACATTTCTCCTAAAAAAGGAAAGAGAGAAAGGAATTTACGTTATGCTATGCTACACAGCAGTAGGCAAAAGGAGACAGTGCTGATTGCTATCCACCCTGAGATTGCTATACAAAGAGGTGTTCGGAACTCATTTTCATATGGCACTAAACTTTTTAACATATTTTCTAGGATGGAGTGAAAATGGCCTCTCAGAACTATCCATCTGTATTCCTGGTTTGCAAAATGGGAAGTGATGAAGTGGAGGGATTTTGCTGACTATTCTTGAGTGGGGTGTGTGGGAAAAAATTCTTAAGGGAAGGGGAGAAAAAAATACCATAAAATCAACATAACTCAGGTGGTCAGAAAGGCCCAACAGAGACTCCATTTCCTCAGGGAAATGCGGCAGAATAATGTTAAACAACAAATGATGAACTCATTTTACTGGTCCAGAATAGAAAGTGTCCTTTCATATTGTATCACAATGTGGTATGCTGGCCTGACAGCCACGGACAGAAAGTCTCTACAGAGGGTGGTGAATACAGCACATGATATCATGGGCTGTCGCCTGCTAGATGACATCGCAAGGGATCGTTGCCTTAGGAGAGGGAGAAAAATTCTCAGAGATGACTCACACCCTGGCTATCACCTCTTTAATCTTCTACCCTCAGGCAGAAAATATAGAAGTATAATCAGCCATACCAACAGGCTAAAAAATAGCTTCTATCCATGAGCTGTTAGGCTGTTGAATGAAAAATAACATAGTGAAATTGACTTGTGAGGTGGTGTGTTGTTTGATAAGAGATTGAGTGTTGGGGGGGGATGGAGGCTCGTTTAATTTCATTGTACACAGGTTGTACAATGACAATAAAGGTATTATTATTATTATTATTATTATTATTATTATTTACTACTAATAATAATTTATTATTTATACCCTGCCCATCCCCAGCCACTCTGGGCGGCTCCCAATCGAGTGTTAAAAACAATACAGCATAATAATAATAATTTATTTGGGGTCAATTAATAGTGAAATAAACTAATTCATTCCTATTTGCTGCAACTGCATTGATGTCAGAGTTGGAGTCTGGTGTAGGTCAGCAACAAAACAATACATCACCCAAGGCCAGTGAAGTTAACTCTTTATTCACGGAACCAATCCACAGCTCATGCCTAGTGGTCTCAACAAATCTTTTTAGGAGGTCTTGCCCCAATGAAGTGGTTGTGAGGACTGAAGGCTCCTGCCTTCCTGTGCTCATTAGGACTCCTCATCTCCAGGGTCTTTCCCACGCAGCCCCACGTTGTATGTGTCTGTGTATAACCACCCTCTGCACTGCCTGTTCATGTCTCGTTGTGTTCTAGGAGACCAGAGGGAGGGGAGCTGGTCACAGGAGGAGGGGGGGACTCCCTGGATTCTTCAGCAGGCCAGTCTCTCTGTCTCCTGGCCCCACTCCTCTCCAGACCCATTTGCATGTTCAGACCCAGAGACCTCCCCCCTAAATAAAGACACATTTGACTCAAATTTTAGTTTGGGTTTTTGGCAGAATTTAGGCCACAACTTTATTGATTACAGAAAGTGACTGGTTGCATAGGCTCTGGTTCGACTAGCTCCCTACATCCTTGCAGGTAGCGCTGACCCAAAGCTCTATCATAGGTCAGAGAAGGGTGAACACCTGAGGAAGGTTAAAAGCCTGGGAGCAGACTCTGTTCACTCCCCAGATGCACCCCTGGACTCAGGCACGGGCACAAACCCCTTTCGGGGGTTGACCAACCCCAAAGTTGACTCAACCCCAAAGTTGAGCCCCTGGATTCATTTAACGGAATACGCTTCACATAGGGATGGTGAGACCATTCTCCCATCCCTATCACCTGAACCAGAGCCTATCCACAACCTTACAAGTTGTGACGAATTGCTACGCTGCAGGCGAAACCCAAATGGCAACAGCCAATCAGTCAAGTGGGAAAATTCCTGCCGTGCCCCTGTCCCAACGACAGACAACACACAACGGCATAGCAAGGTCAACCACAAAATGCCCTAAAATTAGGGAGAGGTGGGCGGGTGGGCATGAGCTGAAAGAGGAAGCTCTGGGACACGTGCATGGGTTTATATAGGTCCCTTGATCCATTTGGACTGCACCCCATTGGCCGGCCAGATTAAACCCAGCAATGAGGGACCTACCAATCAGGTGTTGTGGCTATCCAATAGACCCACCCACAACCAGGAGGTCAGTCTCCAGGTCTCACTGCAACACATGCCCTCTTTTAGGGAGGACATGATTTCTGCCTCAGAGTCTGAACTGTGCTCTGCCGCAACCTCTTCCTGTTCACTAAACCCCATTACCTCTTCAGCTTCCGACACCTCCTCCTCTCATTCTGCTCCTTCTTCTCCCTCTAACCACTCATCGTTGTCCTACCACCAATCCCCTGGCCCTGAGTCTTCTTCCGGGGTGGGGGTGGGGGAGGATTCCTTAGGGAGTTCCCTGCTTGGTGCCTGGGAACCAGCCAGTCCGGCAATGGAGCTTTCGTTTATTTGAATGTGTTCTTAATACTACTAAGGTGCTCAGGTTTGTACTGTGCTTTGGCTCGGGGAACTCTACTCTGAACCATGTGTCAGTTCAGGGCACTGATGCCAGCAGCAAGAAGCAATAACGCCACATTCTCTGGGTCACGACCAGGCCATTACCCAAGGCCAGGAATGTGACAGCCTCTAGCCTGATGTCTGAACTGGGGTGCTTAATCCTAGGTGAAATGTGTGAGTGCATGCAGGAGTCTGTGTGCATGTCTGTATCTCGATTCCTGCAAGGCTGGGAATCAGGAAGCCTTCGCTCCTTCGCTTTTGCTATCAGATGACAGCACGGCGCAATTAAAAATGGAAAGCCACCACCTACACAATCCCTCATGGAACGTTTGGCAGTCATTTGACAATATTTGACCGGTTAATTGATCGGCATGCCAAGCTTAGTATAGACGTGCTCTGCATTAAGAAACATCTCCCACGCGGATGACATTTGACTTGCATTTTCATAAATGGACCTGTTTACACACCCGGCTTCTATAGATAATGATGACATTCCATTGCATATCACTTCTGGTTCCTTTATAGCTCTGGCTTTTTTTCTTTAAACGGACTGGCTTGTAATTATTAGCAAATGAAGATAAGGAACTGAACAGGACATGTTGTTTCAAACATTGTGTTTAAAATAAATAAAAAAGGTAACAATAGCCCGCTAAATATAGTCACGGATTAGAGAGCCATTGTTTCCAATCCTGCTATATAAAACTAAGACTCTCCAAATGGAATGTCACTTGACCTTTCGTGTTCCACTGGCCTGTGCTTGTATTTAACTGATGCCGGGACAACAGATTTCTCCTCAGAGGTGTCCAGCGTTGACATGACAGGCCTTAGTGTTTTGTCCCCGCCATGTTCAGGAGACATAAGCCCAGCTCTTCGGAGCACAAGAGAGACCCTGCCATCCATGCACCTGCACTGCCCCATAATGACATGAGAAGTTTCTTCAGCTTGTCTCAGCTTGTCCTCTCTGCTGGCCACCTGAAACCGCCTCCAGTCTTAAGGCACTCCAAAACAACTTACTTTGAAGTGGAGATCCTTGATGCCCACAGCAAAAAACAGATCTGTGTAGTGGACAAGGTGAGTCGATGTGGTGTGTATGGTTTTTCTCACATGCTACCTACCCCAGCACGCTGTGGAATGTGTGATCTTAAATGCATGACTTGCCCTGCAAGCCTAACTCCACTGACTTGGGAGTAAGCCCCACTGAATTCAATAGGACTTACTGCTGAGTAGACATAGTTAGGAGTATTCTGAGTCTTGCTTTCCTGCCTATCTATCTATCTATCTATATATGGCTACATGCAATAATTTTTAACCTCCTTCCTGGCCAAATTGTAAATGCATCTAACTCATTCCACAGCTTGACAGGAAGAATCAAATTGTGTTATTTTTCTGTGATGTTCATATTGCAGCTTATATTTAACTTTCCATAGGAAAGGATAGATTTCCCTTTTGTTTTTTTTACCCTGTGGCACTGATGAAACCCTGTAACTTTCAAACAGGGCAGAGACTCAAACAGACCTAAGTGCAGAACTAGGCTTTGGAAAATGGGATGCATTTATTTGTAAATCTCAAATTCTGCTTTTCTGGCTATTCCCCCCCACCCTCCACTATAAATGAAGGCTCTTTTAATTTTCTAGGCTAGATTTTTTTCACAGTATTTAACTCCTACTTAGCAACTGCTATAGATTCATCTGCAGGAAGACAGAACAAGTTTGCACTCGTAATGTCCTTTACTGCGGATTTCAACATTAAAATAGTGCTGAATATTCAGAGTCTTGCTGTTCAGTGCCAGTGTTTGATATCTGATGATATTTAACATTGGATATTATGGTAGCAGATTATATTTGACATGTGATAGTATTTTAATGTTTGATTTTCAGGATGTGCAATCCTATGCATATTTACTCAGAAAGTAAATCAGTAGGACTTAGTCCCAGATAAGCCTGCATACATCTATATCTATCTATATTTGTTATATATCATCTAGATTTACTATTTTAATTTGATAGGAGGTATTCAGTTTCCATAATAGTCTGCATTTTACATTCTCATTTGAAACCAGTGTGCACTCGTGCCATTTTTGTGGTAGAGGGATAATAATAACATATTTGCATTATACTTTAGAAGGTGCAAAAGTCCTTCACCTATAATCCTTAAAACAACCCTGTATTGTAGGGATGGAATCCTTATAAAGGATTGACAGAATTGCTGGCCTAAAGGAATCTTGTGCCTGCATAACAGAGGTGAAATTTGAACTTACTGACTCATAGCTCAGTCATTCGGCTGCTCTGACACCAGCTCATGGGTTCACAGGAACTGAACATCTATCTACATGCATGCCTTAATGTGCATGATGTTACATCATTTACATGAGCCTGCATTTGTGAGATGTGTGTCCTTTTGTTAAAACAAAAAAATGAGAACAATGGAACTTAAAGTGCTTGACTTTGGTTCAGCTGTGCCCAGGGAGTATGGCACAGTTCGGATTGAGAGGGAAATGTTTTAATCTTCTTAAATACCTCTTTGGGGTCTGTTAGAAATACAAAAGCAAAGCAGAGTGAAAAACTGTTTGTTTTTCCCTCTGCTTTGCTTTTGCTTTTGTTTGATAAGACAAAGCTAAGTACAACATATTTTCTTCCCCTCCCATTTTCAGATACCACCATCATCAACGCTTCTCGATGTAAAACATAAGTTTCACAAAGTATGTAAGTACCTGGCGGGGCCTTTTGCATAAAAAAGCTGTCTCCTATCCTATCACCAAGAACTCAGAATAAACTGTATGTGTGTGAGAGACAGAGAGACAGGCCCAGATCAAAGGGGTAGGCAGAAGGGGGTTTATGCCCCAGGTGGCAGACCAAGAGGCAGCAAACAACATACCGTATTTTTCCGTGTATAAGACTGGGTTTTCCCCCTAAAAATAATGTCAAAAATTAGGGGGCATCTTATACACAGGGCCATCTCTCCCCCCGCCCATTTTCTTAAATCTGAGTCCCCCGAAATAGGGGGTGTCTTATACATGGGGGCGCATTATAGACGGAAAAATACGGTAATTTTTCATACTTGCCACAGCCTGAAGCAATGCAGGAACAAGCCCTGTAGGAATGGCCTTATTTACAGGGTTTGTTCTCCGCTGGTAGGGATGGAAACAGCCACTTGGGAAATGAAGGCATGGGAGAAGAGAAGAGTAGTGAGAGTGAAAATGGTAGGAAAGAGCAGCAAAAGAAAGAGGAACCAGCAAGGTAACCAGGGAGGAACTGGTTGAAAAAGCCTGCCATCGTAAGCAGGTCTACTCAGAAGTAAAATGTAAAGATAAACGGATCCCTGACGATTAGGTCCAGTCATGACTGACTCTGGGGTTGCAGCGCTCATCTTGCTTTACTGGCCGAGGGAGCCGGCGTACAGCTTCCAGGTCATGTGGCCAGCATGACTAAACCACTTCTGGCGAACCAGAGCAGCGCGTGGAAACGCCGTTTACCTTCCTGCTGGAGCGGTACCTATTGATCTACTTGCACTTTGATGTGCTTTTGAACTGCTAGGTTGGCAGGAACTGGGATCGAGCAACGGGAGCTCACCCCGTCGTGGGCATTCGAACCACCGACCTTCTGATCGGCAAGTCCTAGGCTCTGTGGTTTAACCCACAACGCCACCCAAGTCCCTTACTCAGAAGTACGCCCTATTAAATTCAATGGAGCTTACTGCCAGGTGGATGGAGTTAGTAACGGAGGCATTTGGTCTCCTCTTTTTGTGTGGCGGTGGGGAATGGTCTGTAATATGGTGCTTCGCCGCATTGTGCGCAAGCTCAAGGCAAGTTATATGAACTGTTGAAATTTGCTGCAATTTATTATGTGGGATTGTCAAGCAGGCACATACCTGTAGGAGATAAATTCTGCCTGATGAGCAACAAGTTTTCCACGAGCCCATAGATATTTAGAGACAGCTGAGTGTCTTCTAGTGCTGGTGTTCATTCTATCTAGAGCTCATCCACATGGGAATTCAGAGACAAAAAAGCCCTCATGTGACTTATGAAGACGCAGAATGTTTATTTTCTGAATCAGAAAGTGTTTCTCTTTCCTCCCACTGCAGGGCCATCAGTCATAGATACTATTAGACTGGCAAGTTTTTAGAGAAATCCCAGTTGTAAAAGTATTGCATTTAGGGACTTAGTGCTTAATGCAATTGCCTTAAAAATATCTCTTTTTTAATTTAAGTGTTTAATTATATAGCTGTCAGTTTAATTCTAAAACTGAAAGGAACAGATTTTCAATTTACATCCAGGGCCAAATGAAAAGTGGAACTGGAGATCTTATGTTTGCTTTTAAAAAAAAAAAAGTTAATACAGTGGTACCTCAGGTTACATACGCTTCAGGTTACAGACTTCGCTAACCCAGAAATAGTACCTCAGGTTAAGAACTTTGCTTCAGGATGAGAACAGAAATCGTGCTCTGGTGGCACAGCGGCAGCAGGAGGCCCCATTAGCTGGTGCTTCAGGTTAAGTGGTGCTTCAGGTTAAGAATAGTTTCAGGTTAAGAACGGACCTCCGGAATGAATTAAGTACTTAACCCGAGGTACCACTGTACCGTCAGCAGCAGACCTGAATCAGGTCAGGAGACCCACCCCACTTTCTGCCCCCTTAAAAAAAAAAAAAAGCCAAGCACATAAAACTGAATGTTAAATTCTTGTAAATTGCGGGTCTACTGTATTTGCTAAACTTTAACCAGCCTATGGGACGCGGGTGGCGCTGTGGGTAAAACCCCAGTGCCTAGGACTTGCGGATCGTATGGTCGGCGGTTCGAATCCCCGCGGCGGGGTGAGCTCCCGTCTTTCGGTCCCAGCTCCTGCCCACCTAGCAGTTCGAAAGCACCCCTAAGTGCAAGTAGATAAATAGGGACCGCTTACCAGCGGGAAGGTAAATGGTGTTCCGTGTGCTGCGCTGGCGCTGGCTCGCCAGAGCAGCTTTGTCACACTGGCCACGTGACCTGGAAGTGTCTGCGGACAGCGCTGGCTCCCGACCTCTTAAGTGAGATGAGCGCACAACCCTAGAGTCTGTCAAGACTGGCCCGTACGGGCAGGGGTACATTTACCTTTACCTTTTTAACCAGCCTTTCTTCAAAGGAAGCTTGGGCTAGGTTTCCCTGCAAGCCTCTCCTCTATGTATTTGATGCAGACTTGTTTAATTTGATTAAAAGGGTATAGGATAATCCACCCTGTTCATGGCTGTTCTTTAAAACTTGTTAAAGTGAATCCAACTACTGTAAAAGGCTTTCTGTAGGAATATTTACTTTATTTACTTTAAGACTGCAAGCTTCCCGCTTGAAGTTCACAACTGGGGAGAGGGGATTAGCAGCAGTGCAGACTCTCTGCGACAGCAGTGCGGGAGAAACACATTGGCATATTGCGTGAGCACTTTAGGCAGAAAGTGCAAATATTGGAACATAAGGACATGTTGGTCCATTCTCCCCATCAGCGGTGATATACTTGCATCAGCATAATCCAGTGTCACACGTTTTATTAATCAGAGAAAATGTGGCTTAATCAGCTATATACAATGTTGAAATAGAAATGTGTGCAGCTGCTATCCCAATATTATGGAGGCGGTGCAGATAAAATAGCTTTAATCACCACTCTTTCATACATAAAGCTCAGCCTTGATTGATTCCTGATTTGGTTGATAACCAAGAGGGAGCTGAAAATAAGCCACCACAATGCTGTGAAAAGTGGTCCTCTTCAGTGTTACAGCCAACCAGCCAAGCCACCTTTCAGGAAGCGCCATTCCCCTGCCCAGGGGTGTAGGAAGGGGGGGTGCGGGGATGCAGGCTGCCCCGGGTGCCATCTTGGAGGAGGGGTGACAAAATGGCAAACCTGACTTCAGTGCGCCCGAGCCACGCATCTCTCCTGGGAGTGACACGGTGACTCGGGACCCCATGCTGTCCGAAATGGCTGTATGGGGTTTGCGTCCCCCAGGTGGACTCCGTGCGCAGATCACCACGGCATCCCCGTGCATAGATCGCTGCCCCACCCCGGTGGGCGGATCGCCCTGCCCCCGCCGCTCCGGGTGCCGGAGCAGCTAGCTATGCCCCTGCCCCTGTCCTCCTGGTTTTCATTCTCCCACCCCCATAACAGACACCCAACATTATTTTGCGCATACTGAGCATGCTTAGTCTGCATTAGTCTGGGGTGTGTGGTTTTGGGTTGCTTTTTTTTTGTTTGCTTAGAAAAATTATTTCTTTAAAGTGGTACCTCTAGTTACGAACTAAATTGGTTCAGGAGGTCCGTTCTTAACCTCAAACTGTTCTTAACTAGAGGCGTGCTTTCGCTAATGGGGCCTCTTGCTGCTGCTGCGCCGCCGGCACCCAATTTCCATTCTCATCCTGTGGCAAAGTTCTCAACTCGAGGTAACTCTTCCAGGTTAGCGGAGTTCATAACCTGAGGCGTTTGTAACTTGAGGTATCACTGTATATATATTTATTAGAGAGAGAGAGAATTGAAGTACTTTATTGTCACTTGTACAACTTGTATACAGTGAGATTACACAATCACCCCCCACTCAGTTCTCTTAGTCTTAATTCCCCTCGTTTACTGACGCATACCCACCAAACCCAAAAGTCAGTTGCCCTGTTGTTATCTTTTCATTCAGCAGCCTAACAGCCCACGGACAGAAGCTGTTCTTTACCCTGTTGGTGCGACTAATCATGCTTCTATATCTTCTGTCCGAGGGCAGGAGATCAAGAAAGTGCTGGCCAATATGTGATGAACAAATAACGTTTGTGGGTTTACAGGAAGCTTTGTGAAGAAATATGTATAGAAACATTGTAAAAAAGGGAAGAGGGGGAGTAGGTGGATTTTAAGATAAAAGACAATGACAAATTTTGAACTTGCAGTATAAAAACGAGAACACGGAGGATTCACGGATGAACTGATGGAAGTCAAAAATATGTATTTGTGATTGTATTGAAAATGTATGACTAAAAATTCTTTTTTATTGGAAATTAATAAAAAATAATTCAAAAAAAAGAAAGAAAGAAAGTGCTGGCCAGGGTGTGACTCATCCCTGATAATTTCCTTCACTCTCCTGAGGCAACGTTCTTCCACTATTTCATCCAGCGGATTCATGGGACAGCCCATAATATCTTGTGATGTATTCACCAGCCTCTTTAGGCACTTCCTATCAGTTGATGTCAAACCAGCGTACCACACCATGATGCAGTATGAAAGGACACTTTCTATTGTGGACCGGTAGAAGGAGATCATCAGATGATGATTGCCATCATTCTTTTGCAATACTCTGAGGAGATGGAGTATATATTTGTACTTCTTTAAACTTTTGGGTTTCCTCAAGCCTGTTGACATCTCGTCTTGTGTTTCGGCTATGTAAGGATTAACACTCAGAGAACCGATGCCACAATTAGGATTATACATGGGGCCTGCAACAAAATGTTACAGTAAGGAGCTTCTTCTGTTCAGGGATTCAGCTAGTCGCTATATCCATCCACACAGCCCTATCCCAGATTCCCTTCCTGAATTCCTTCTTAAATGAGCATGCTTAGTTGGAAGGGGGACTTCCCCTTGGAGAGGTGTTTATTATTATTATTGCTAAAGCGCTAAAGCGCTCTCTCTCTCTCTCTCTCTCTCTCTCTCTCTCCCTCTCTCTCTTTGTATTTCTGCAAACCTGAGATTTTCCTCCAGCCTGCTGAGAACACAATGTCAGTTGGAACTTTATATACTTGCTGACATTCTCAAAGAACTCTAAATCTTATGGGAGACAGTACTTACCCTTGCAGAAGCTATGCTGGTTCTGCTTCAGCAAGACTTGCTTTTCTATATGCTTGGTAATTACATATTTAACAAAGCTTTCCACCAGGTTCCATGGGACAGATGTTAAGCTAACCAGCCTGTAATTTTCAGCATCCTCCCACATAGCCAAACCAAAGTAGCCTCAGTATATAAATAGGTGTGTATTTCATCCTTACCCTGTCAGTTAAAATTGGTTGAGGTCAACTAAATTTTTAGTTGATTAATCTACCAATTTATAAGCCAGAACTCCTAGCTATTAAAATACTAAATAAATCCATTGTATTCCATTGCAGCGGGGCCAGATAATTTCTGGGGAGAAAACAAATATGTTTTCCTTTTGCATTCACAGACTGGTGTCTTGTTCATATTTTTTCATATTTTATAAACTTTTAACAGTGACAGTATTTCAGTTCCTCTACCACGAGCAGCACAAATTTTAACAGGACCGTCCAGCCAAAGTGAAGCAAGCTCCTGATATATATATATTTATTTTCAGACAGAAAGTCTTCTAGGTGGTATAGCTCCTTTCCAGGAGCATTTTCCAGTCTGGGGGAGAATGAAACACAGGGTTGTCAAAATGATACCGTTATCTCTCTGCAGTTACATTGAAGTGTTCTTGAGAATTCTCAGACACTTGATTCCCATTCACCTTAAATGACATTTATGATGACCTTTGCTATTTAAGGCCTGGACAACCTAGACATCAAACTTGATGCATTTCACGTTCACAAAAAATATGTGCCCTGGTTGATATGAAAGACACATAAAGTAGGGGATTTAAATATATTTCTATTAGGTTAGCTGAGGTCTTTAAATCTCTACTCTGTTTTTGCACTGTGCTCTCATTTTTTGCCACACTATTCTTTCTAAGAGCAACCTTCTTATTCTTTTTAAAAAAATGTTTCAGAGTGAAAGGTACATTTTTCACTTATTTGAATGCAGGTCCCCAGTGGTCGCCATCTCGCATTGGCCTGCGACTTGAACGCAGTAAGTACCCGTTTTTCTGCCAAGGTACTCCCGAGCTGTGTTTTCCAAACTTGGGTCTCCAGCTGCTTTTGGACTACAACTCCCATCATCCATAGCTAGCAGGACCAGTGGTCATGGATGATGGGGATTGTAGTCCTCAAACAGCTATAGGCCCAAGTTTGAGAAGCCCTGCTCCTGAGCTTGTTTTCTGAATGAATTTCCACATTACCTTTTGTACATGAGAATGAGCTTCCCAATGTTTATAATATGGATAGACAAACCTAGAACTAAATGTTTTGCTATACTGACTGTGCCAGTTTAGATTTCCCCCAATATTTTCACAGATTTGCAAATGTGAAGATTGTCTTATATTTTATGTATGCACTGCCATCTTCAGTTGCTAGTCTTGCCAGAAGATCTTTGGGAAGTGAAGAAGGGGTGGTAGCCCCAAAGGTCAACTTCTTCTCTGACCAGTGTGAACATGGTGTGTGTTGCTAGCACTGATCCATCTTTGTTGTTCTCTTCCTTTCATGCTGGCCAGAAAGGAGATTGCTTGCCTGTCCTCCTTAAGGGCTAGAACAGGGGTCCCCAAACTATGGCCCATGGGCTGGATAAGGCCTGAGGGACTTATTTATCCAGCCCGCAGCAACTCCCGCTGCCACCGCCCACTCTTACCGGTGCCGTGCTGCACGGCTGCCCACTTCTGGGTCGGAGGAGCACCAGAAACAGTTTGTGTGCATGTGCAAGCATTATTTGTGCATGCACAAGTATTATTTCCGGTACACAACCAGGTTGGAGGAGGCCCATGCACATGCACACAAGCTATTTCTGGTGCTCCTCCAACCCGGAAGTGCACCGGAAATAACATATGCGCACGCGTATGGGCACGCGCTCCCCCGCCCTCTGGCCTGCCATGTGATCGGCTCTGGAGACATAGGCCCGAGGCGCGGTAAGTTTGCTGACCCCTGGGCTAGAAGCGTGAATTTGAGCCATGGGGAACTCACCCTCTGCAAGTCCACCATTTGAGCAACATGAGCAAGTAAATAAGACCTGGGACAATGCTCTCATGCTGCATCCTTAAATCAATGTCACGTGATTTCTCTGTGAAGGTATTGCATCAAATGCTGACCACGTAATGTTTGGTCACTGTGGTATATACTCCAGTGACTTGCCCTACAGCTGTTGCAGACTTGGCGTAATCCTGTGCTCCCATTCAAAAGTGATTTGTGGACTGGCAGGAAACAAATGTGGTATGAGGCTATTTGAACGCTACTTGAACAGATTTGGCATTTCAGTGCCTATGTGTTAGTCGGACATCTCATGGAATTGGGCCGAGCATGTAACACATAAGCAGTGTCTGAGTTCACACTTCATGTCACCTCCTTCTGTTTCTTTGTTATCATAGATGGGTCTTACTTGAGAGACTCCGTCAACATAAAGGCCCTTGCAGCTTCTTCTATCATTACGCTGTATTTCACGGACATGGGTCAGCAAGTTACCTGGACAACAGTAAGTTTAACTTTTGGTAAAATTCACATGGCAGAGTTGTATATTAGCTTGAGAGGTGCTTCTTGCTTTGTTGGTTTTTATCATTTTCTTTTTTTATATAATTTTTATTGTATAAAAATTGACTTCCTATTGACTTCCTTCCCTCCCGCCTCATGGCTTTCGAAATTAATCTTTATATCATTGCAATTTATACATTTTCCAGTTCTAATTAGACTTGTTACAGAATGTCTCAAAATTTAAATAAATATAGAAAGATAGAAAATTTCTCATTACAAGTCATCGGACAACCCTGCTAGCGATGTTAATTGCTTACAACAATCTTTCAATTAACATATAAATTTACCCCAATCCTTTTGGAATACTTGATCGTGCTGGTTTTGGATTTTTCCTGTCAGCTTCGCCAGTTCTGCAAAGTCTATCATCTTCATTTGCCACTCTTCTTTCATTGGTACTTCTTGCTGTTTCCATTTTTTGGGCTAAAAGAATTCTTGTCGCGGTTGTTGCATACATAAACAGTCTTTTATCTTCCCTTGGTATCTCTTCATCCACTATACCCAGTAAAAAGGCTTCTGGTTTTTTAATAAAAGTATTTTTAAACATTTTCTTTAACTCATTATATACCATTTCCCAGAAAGCCTTTACCTCTTTACAAGTCCACTGCATGTGGTAAAAGATACCTTCCCTTTCTTTACATTTCCGGCACTAATTAGTTCTTGTTTTGTACATTTTAGCCAATTTAGCTGGTGTTAAATACTATCTGTACATCATTTTCATAACATTTTCTTTAAGTGCACTGCATGCAGTAAAATTAATACAGTGGTACCTCATGTTAAGTACTTAATTCGTTCTGGAGGTCCGTTCTTAACCTGAAACGGTTCTTAACCTGAAGCACCACTTTAGCTAATGGGGCCTCCCACTGCCACCGCACCGCCGGAGCACAATTTCTGTTCCCATCCTGAAGCAAAGTTCTTAACCTGAGGTAATATTTCTGGGTTAGCGGAGTCTGTAACCTGAAGCGTATGTAACCCAAGGTACTACTGTACCTTCCTTCCACAACCTGTCTTTATAATTTTCTAATGAAACTTCCACAAGTGCTTCCCCCATGCTAGGCCTTATTGTGCATTCCTGGAGCTCCTTTGAACAGAGGTTTTGGTAGATTGGAACTGGCTTATCAAAAGAACCCATAATAGCTAAAAGCCTGGCTACAAGTCAAGAAGCACCTTTTTCAAATTTCAACTCTGCAATGACCTTACTAGGCAACTCACTTTCCCTCAGCAATATGGGAAGCTCTTCCTTACTGCTCTTCCTTATAAGGTTGTTGTGAGGATTACAGCAATATTATGTTTCATGCTGCCTTTTGAATATACAAAAGTGCAATATAAATACAACTTGTGCCACCTTGTAGTCAGTGCATGGAGCACAGACCCTGGTCTGCTGCAGCTCAGCTGCTGCAAAAAGCTACATGATTCATCTCTGTCCACCATGGTGAAACATTATGTAATTAATTACATTATTCCACACCATTTCAGTGCAGAGGAAACATAATGCAAATGGAAAAAGAACATCTTCAGTTATGTATCATTGCACATCATTCTCAGACAGAAAACAACAGCAAATACCAATCGTATTTGCTGGATTAATTCCCATTCCAAACATGGGACAAATAAGTGAGCACCAGCAATTTTCTGCTGCCATTTTCATTGGAATTCTCTGACATCCCTAATCTAAGAAATGCAAATTTGGTCAGTTCATGGAAAAGTACATCCTACAACTTCTTTAGCTACCACCCGGGATGTAAGAATTGGTATATGACACACATGGTAAGAAGCTTTCAAACATTACTCCTACCGTGTTGTGCGGTACCATGGTGAAAAGGTATTTGTTGGTCTGAATGCAGAGCTTTCATGCTTAAACTGACAAATGGAGGAAGCCACATTCGCCTTGCTAATGTGCATAGATATTACTAGTCTGTGAAAAACTTTACTGGCCCATTTGTTTCGTGTATCTATGTGGCTCAATAGCCTGGGAGGAAATGAAAAAAAACAACTGTTTGCAAATGCTTCCTAGCCAGGTCACCTAGACCAGCTGATCAATTTTTTTATCACCAACAGTATCACCAAGTAGCATTTGCATCACCAAGTAGCAAGAGAAGAGATTCTATAAGAAAGGTGAAGAAAGAGCTATTCTCGATTAGTTAACCAGAACACAGGATGTGCCTTTAATACATGGTGGTGGCTCAGAAATTCTGTGTCACCACCATCACTGTAAGGTGAGTTTCTCAAATTAATGATCTAGGCAGATGATGCTTATGCTCTGAATTTAAAATTCTCTCTGGCATTCATGGAATCAGGAATTAACGGAAACATCCACCCCTTCTCTTCTTCTGCCACATATAAATAGATGACACACAGAAGCATACTAAGCATTCAGTACATTTTGTATCAGTTGGTCTGGACTCTTTTGTGAATACGCATCCTGCTCCAATTTCAGCAGGCAAGAAACTAAAGCCAGCGCTTTAGATAATCTATAGCACAGCTGCTTTTATCATTGTTGCTACTAATTTCTCCCCTCAATGTACTCCCCTCCTCCCCCAAAGTCAATAAGCAACTTTAATAGTTTTCTGTTCTTGACATCACAGTGCCTCGACTGTGCAGCTGACTGATGCCACAGATGCCCAGTGACATTGCCAAGTTTGACTAATTCATGCTTTCTTAGAAAAGGCTAAGGAATAAACACCACACAAGTCCCTAAGAAGGTTGGATGGCATCTTGTATGTCTCCTTCTGGAAACTCCTGCAGCCAACCTGGTGCCACATGTATGGCTCTGCTTTCCTTTGGACCACACCAGCAAGACTGAGAGGGGGGTATTGTCTGGGTAGCCCAGGACCTCCACACACACTGCCCAGGCTTGTGCCCCAGATAGGTCACTTTAGTGCTTCTAATGCAGCAAAAACAACACAGGAAGCAGCAATTATGAGAGTTCAACTTCACCCCCCAAAGGTGTACTCTTCCATTGTATTCCAAGATAGACAGATGCCAACTGCAACAACATGTTCTTATTGAGTATAATAGAGGGTGAAACACCCAAGAAAACACTCAGTGTCTTTCTCTACACAATGGCAGCGTCCAGAATAATTTACGCTCAAAGGTGGAAGGACCAGGGCCGTCTTTACCTGGGGGTGCGAGGCACCCGGGCGCTGAATTCTGGGGAGCGCCTACCGCTGAGGCCGCCTAAGCTCTTAACTATCTACCTGTTATGAAATAATAAATCATTTTGATCAAGCTAGAAAAACAAAATACATATATACCTAGGTATTACCTAAATGTATACCTACTGTTTCACTAAAGGACTTTCAACTTTGTGCTCTCATTTACCTAAGACTTGTTATGCACAATGGCGCCGTGCACGCGAAATTAACTCTTACATCAAAATATTACGTTACATATTGTATTGAGGTGCTATGCGGCAGCTGGGTCAGTGGCACCTTTGACACGACTGATGTTTCTCCTAAGTAGGTGCCTAAACAATACTTATAAGTTTAAGTGTGGTGTTGTTGCATACTTAAGTAGAAGTGTATTGTAAATAAATGAGCAAATAAAAAAAATGTTTCTTTTTCCTCCCTTCGTTCATAAACAAGAGATAAGGGGTAAGCGTGGTGTCTGACATAAGCATAATAAAAGTAAATTTGGGGGCTAAACTAAATTTGGGGGTGCTGGGCAGATCTTTGCATCCCGGCGGCACATATGCTAAAGACTACGCTGGGATGGACCAAAATAGTCCTACAAAAGTAGACTGGCAGAATAAGCTAATAGAATATGTGGAATTAGCCATGTTGACTGCATAGATAAAGAAATCTGGATGGGTCTGCTGTAGAAGAGGAGTGGGAATACTTTGGAGACTACTTAAAGAAAGAAATAACCATATAAATTTCCAAGTAGGGCCAGATACATGAACAGCAGTGAAAAACAATCAGAAGGGTGGGGTGGAATCAAGGAGATGCAGCTGAACAAAAGTTAAATAAGATCCCATGGAGGAATGTGTGGAGAAGCCAAAGAGTGTAGGATAAAGGATGATAACTGTATAATGGATGTATTGTTATGTAAAATGCATCAAGAAACAAATATGTTCTTACTACAGTACTTATTTTTATTTATATATTTGACAAAATTCAATTACGACTTAATCAACAAAACCCTGTAAGCAATTTATATATAACACCACAGAATATTAATCAAAATAGCAATAAAATAAACTGTTTCAAACCAATTGACATGAAAATAGAAATAAATGCAGTTTTAAAAACAGATATACGTCAATCCCTGGAATAAATCAGTCAGTAGAGTATGAGACTCTCAGGTTAGAGCCCCACATTGGGCAAAAGCTTCCGGCATTGCAAGGGGTTGGACTAGATAACCCTCATTATCCCTTCCAACTATACAGTTATGATTCTATATAATTCCATGTTAAAATTCTGTGTTAAAACTATGTATCTGGGTAGGCTTGCCTAAACAAAAAAGGTTGTTAGCAGACCCTGAAAACTTCAAAGAGCCAAAGCAGAGGACTGATACCTTGTAAATATGAAATGGAAGGGACGCTATCCATTCTGAATAATGCCAGCACAAACTGAAGCAGTTGATTGGGTACATAAGGAGTAAGGCAATGAGTAAGGAGTAAGGCTCGTTCACAGGTGCTTATAATATCAGTGGAAACTGTTGGTAACCAGCTTTAATTTTAACCTGAAGATTGCCACTTGTCCAGTTTTAATTTTAATTTGTTTGAATTAATTGTGGGATGTATCTTAATTTATTGATCCCTTGTTTTTATGCATTGTCTTACTTGTATGATGTTTGTCGCTCTGAGCCCGGCTTTGGCCGGGGAGGCCGGGATATAAATAAAAATATTTATTATTATTATTATTATTATTATTATTATTATTATTTATTTAAGTAAACTGGTTCAAGGGCTTTATATACTGATAGCAACACCTTGAATTTACCCAATTTTTCCCCATGAAAACTGAAGGTGAACTTAAACAGACTTGTTGACTTTGCATGCAGGCATACCTTCCAATGAAAATAGGGATGTCCCATTCAATAATAATAATAATAATAATAATAATAATAATAATGTTATTATTTATACCCTAGCCATTTGGCATTTGCCAGATGATATTAAGGCTGCACAGGAAAATATCACTCTATGATCCCATTAGCTTCAGATGACCTTTTTTCTTTCTTCTTCTTCTTCCAGGTTTTTCTAACCGAATATACCGGGCCTCTTCTAATCTATCTGCTCTTTTACCTTCGCCTCTCAAGTATTTACGATGCAAAGGAGAGCGCAAGAAGTCTACGCCATCCTGTGGTTCAGTGAGTAAGAATGGTCTGTGCTCAAGGATGATATGATGTGATGATGCCCTCTTAGAGCAAAGACAGACAAAAATGTGAGTGAACTAAGTTTAGTGGAGGTGGTCTACCATGGTTGCCTCAATCTATTCATCCAGTGCTTTTTTCCCCTGGGGGTACGCAGGGGTACGCATACCCCTCAACATTTTATGAATCTAATGGGTAAGGGTAAAGGTAAAGGGACCCCTGACCATTAGGTCCAGTCGTGACCGACTCTGGGCTTGCGGTGCTCGTCTCCCTTTACTGGCTGAGGGAGCCGGCGTACAGCTTCTGGGTCATGTGGCCAGCATGACTAAGCCGCTTCTGGCGAACCAGAGCAGCGCATGGAAATGCCGTTTACCTTCCCACCGGAGCGGTACCTATTTATCTACTTGCACTTTGATGTGCTTTCGAACTGCTAGGTGGGCAGGAGCAGGGACTGAACAACAGGAGCTCACCTTGTCGTGGGGATTCGAACTGCCGACCTTCTGATCGGCAAGTCCTAGGCTCTGTGGTTTAACCCACAGCGCCACCCGCGTCCCTTTTAGGAAATATTTAGGGGGCGCCAAATTTTGTCCTTGCTCGGGGTACCAAATTACCAAAGTTCACCCCGGATATGGTCACCTGAATTTCTACCCCAGACAGACAGAATGTTAGGAGGATTATCATAGGTAAGCAATTATAAACAAACTACAGACCTGATTGGTTTTGATGGACTAATGCAACATTGATAAAATGATTCCCTTCTGATCGGCAAGTCCTAGGCTCTGTGGTTTAACCCACAGTCCCACCTGCGTCCCGAATCTAACAGGAGAACTAAAAAAATCAAAAATTTAATTTCTTCTCCAGCATGGTGAATCATCAGTTGTGTTGAAGAGCACGGTGATTCGTCAGTTCCGTTGCTGCAACCCCCAATGGCGGCCTCATTTCCTGTCAGGTGTATCCTGAGTCTCAGACGGAATGAGAGTACTCCTAAACATATGTTTTTTTTAAAGCAAAAAAGCACTGGATTCATGGATGGGTTAGCCATGTCATTTACAAACACACACACCCTTCAAATCTGTATTTATTTATGAATTTTATGCTGGGTAATATGTGTAAAGGAAAAACTTGAGCCCATAAGCTTATGCAAGCTTTTTATACCCCCTCTTTTAAACATAGGCATATAATTGCAAACAAAAGTAATCACAAAAACAGTCATAAAAGCAAGAAGAATAAAAACTCCAAGATAATGAAAATATATTCCATGGTGGAAAACAAGGTTCACATTTATACCAAAGATATCAAATAATCATGAATGTTGGCAAATGAACGCATATTTAGTGGGAATGTGCCAACGATGAGATTGTTGGGTCATGTAAATCATAAATGTCCCCCAAGCAGTAGCAAAGTCTGAGGGGTCCCCATCACCCATGGCAACACGTATGAATCAGTTTTTTGGAAATGGCAATGAACATGACTTTCTATGGATCTACAGAATAACAAGATGCAGCCTTCTACCCTGGAAGGATCACATAAGCCAATATGTTCCCCATATATGCCTTACAACCCTAACACCATAAGGGGAAACCAGACTTTATGATATGAATTTCTAGTGCATATTCTTTCTCTTTTAGAGAGGTTCAAGGAGGGTGAGGTCTTGACTGGTGGGCTTTTTAGATCTTGAGGAATATTTAACCTATACAGTGGTACCTCTGGTTGCAAACGGGATCCGTTCTGGAGCCCTGTTCACAACCTGAAAGGAACACAACCTGCGTCTGCATGTCTGCGCACGTGTGGGTCGTGATTCGCCACATCTGCACATGCGCGAGTGGTGAAACCCGGAAGTAACCCTTTCCGGTACTTCCGGGTTGCTGCCGGACATAACCTGAAAAAACATATCATGAAGCAAACGTAATAAGAGGTATGACTGTACCAGGCATGTCCAACAGGTCGATCGCGATCTACCGGTCGATCGCGGGGCGTCAGTGGTAGATCATGGTCGATTGCAGGACGGTTTGCAAAAGTCCCACCACCCCCCAAAAAGAAAAACGTCCACAACTGATTTGTCTCACCTTAAAAAAAGTTCAACAAAGCGTGTTCTCCTTCATGGAGAGCATGTGTTGCGGTGGGGTCTGCTGAGCCACCCCTCTGTTACCAGGCAGGGTCTCTAAAGATGGCCTGGGGCAGTGATTGGTTCACTGGGTTGCTGGGGTAAAAGTTATGTTGCAATTTTGGTGGGAGGGGTAAAATGTTTAAATACTCTGCACGCAGCCTGGAGCTTTCTCTGTGCTGCATGCAACGGATCACCCGCCCACCCGCCCTTGAGTAAGGGGTTGTTGCATTGACCTTGCTATGCCTGTCATGGGGTCGTCTGCCTTGGGGCAGGGGCCTGGTAGGAATTTTGTCCATCTGGCTGATTGGCTGGGCCATTTGGTTTTTGCCTACTGCGTAGCAAATCGTCACAACTTGTAAGGTTGCGGTTAGGCATTGGTTATAAATTGGTGGAGGAGGGGTTAGGATAGGCTGGGTCTGCCCCTCCATGGTTGCTGCGGAAAGAGAATTCCGTTAAAGGAATCCTGGGGCTTGCCATCTTTTCGTCCAATCCCTGGAATGGGACTAGGGCCGGCAAGCCTTCGGGGAGCATGCGGATGAGAATTGAGGGTCTGTGACTCAGCTCCATTTCTCCCCGACTTGTTTTCCTGCACTGTTTTTCGGTGGTGCCCGGAAGTCAGTTCTGTCCCCAGGCGGGGGGACAGATAGTCTTAACCAATGCCTAAACAACCACTCACGGTTTTGTATTTAAATAAAGTTGTGGCCAAAATTATGCCAAAAACCTTAAACAAAAATTAAGTGTGCGTTGTGAGTTATTTGGGGGGTGGCTTGGGGACCTCGACACGCAACTTTGGCTGGCAATGACAATCAGTAGATCGCAGCCAGTATTTTAATACTTTGAGTAGATCGCTGTCTCTTGGGAGTTGGACGTGCCTGACCTATACAATGCAGATTGTGGATGGCTTCTCTAAGATAACCTATTGAGTTAATGGGAGAAGCAAGCCTCTTAACCAGTTCAGGGTAGTAGGTGACATTTAAAGATGGCTACATCAAACATTGCAATGAATTTTTTGGTTGGATTTTTTTTAACCTTTACTTCCTTCTCTTTCTAATTTCTGCAGCCTGGCTTGCTTCTGTCATTGTTTACACTATGCCAGGCATCTACTGGAGACACTCTTTGTGCATAAGATTTCGGAAGGGCACACTCCCCTGAAAAATATGATCAAGGTGATTTTCATATGTAACATATTATACCGTAGAACTGATTGAGAAAAGCCACTCTGAAAACTTTGTTGCAGAGCAGCCTATACAGTAAATATTGCAGACAAATGAATGAATAAGTGAATATGTGCTACGACGAATGTCAGTCACCTGGTTGTCGGGGCCAGGTAGGAATTTTTCCACTTGGCAAATTGGCACCAGCCATTTGGTTTTTGCCAACCTAGCAGCAATCATCATAACTTTGTAAGGTTAGGCATTGGGTAAGCCTTGTCATGGGAGGGGTATCCCATTAAAGGGATCTGGGTGTGTGGTTCCTGTCCGAAGGCTGGGCATGGGCTAGGGCCATGCCATGACCCCAACAGTGATCCTGGGGGTGCTCTTAATTGATGTATATCATAGGGCTCCCCCTATTGTGGTTGACCCTCGAGACTTCCTGCAGACAGGCAGGAGTCAGGATATAGTCTTGCTTCACCAGTTGCCTAAGCCAAACCGCTCACATCTATAACCGATAAAGTTGTGGCCTAATTTATCCCATTAACCCAACATATTCGTGTCTGTGTTTGTTTCTGGGGAAACTGTGTGGCCCGGCACCTTGCCACGCAACTCACCTGCCTGGTGTTGATGCCTTCAGGCCTCTTCTTTCCCAGTCAGTCTGCTGCCACTCCATTGCTTTAGGAACATTATCTTGGTGATGGTTACAGCAACCCCAAAAGGCAGGCCACTACTCCTATTCCTATATTACGGTTGGGAGAGATGTGTCTGAAAAAGTTGCATTTCCTTCACCAGTAACTGCAACCAGTCTCCAGACACTTATAAGAGCAGGGATTCCAGGTTAGGAGACGTTTTCCATGGGGGGGGGCGTGGGGTGAGAATCACTAGCTTTTTTTGTTTTTTGGTAAGTTCAATATATTTTGTGCTGGGCACCTTTAATTTTTATTTTATTTTTAAATTAGTTTTTCAGGTTTTAAAATTTTACAATCAATTATCCAACAACCAACATAGAAACAAGATTCCAAAGAATCTCCTGAACTTTCCTCCTCCCTTTTGTGAGCCCTTATATTTGTTGGGATACTGCCAGGGAGATAAAGTCCATCAAGGCCCCCAAGCCGTCTGCCGGACGATCCATCTACCTCCCGTAGGCACGCAGCGACATGAGTTTCTAGAAAATATCTTGCCACATTCTAGAGCTCATGCACGCTCTATCAGCAGATAAATGCACAGCCAAAAGTTGCAGTCAGGAGAGCATTATTTACAAGTTTATTCAGCGTTGATCAGAACACAGAAAAACATGACTGACTGCTTTAGTGTCTGCGACAACAGAGAGAAAACGAAAGCAACAGAAAACATAAACATCCTGTGAACAGGAAATACGCAGACTCTGACTCACAAAGCCTGCTCCTTTTAAGGTGGAACGGAAATATCCTAACATCCTCCCCTTTCCGTGTAACCTGTAGTACCTGTGGTTCAACCCAATTGCAACCTTTGTACATAAACCTTAAGTTGTTCTCTGTTAACAACCTTAGACAACAGATCAGCAGGAATTTCATTTCCTGGCATGTAGGACACCTGAATGAGTCCTTTCTGAATACACTCTCTTGCACGATGTAGCTTAATCTGCAAGTACTTGGTCCTTTGCTTGCAACTCTCCGAGTTCAGCAAAGCCAAACACGATCTATTGTCTTGATACACTTGTACAGGACATTTCACAGAAACTCCGATGTCCTTAAACAGTTGCATCAACCATTCACAATCCATGAGTGAAAATGACAGAGCATTGAGTTCTGCTTCACAGGAACTTAGGCTCACTGTCGTCTGCTTTTTGCACAACCAGTCAAACAGGCAGTGGTTGTACATGTAGCATACTCCAGAAGTGCTTGTACCATCCGTGGTGTCACTTCCAAAACTTGCATCTGCAAAGATTTCAAGACCTCCAGTCTTCTGACTGGTGAACCTCAGCCTGTAGTGCAAAGTCCCTTTCAAATAGCGGGCTATGCGCTTCAGAGCTTTCCAATCCTGAACAGTAGGATTGTTAGCATGTCTGCTAAGCAGGTTAGTGCTTACAGCTATGTCAGGTCTTGAGCATCTAGCAATGAAATTCAACTTGCCTAGAATGCATCTGTACAGCGTTGTGTCAGAAAACGCTTCAGCAGTACTGTCTACCTGGTAACCTGTCACCATCGGTGTGTCTGCTGGGTTTGCATCAACCAAATTCAACCTGGTTAATACATCAGCAATTTTCTGTGTTTGGTGTACCAGAAAATTACCTGCTTGGTCCCTCTCCACCTGCAGAGAAAGATAGTTGGATACCTCACCAAGATCCTTCATGTCAAAGTGCTCCTTCAGTTGAGCTAGGGTGCTTTGGTACAAAGCCTGATTCTTCCAAAACATCAGAAGATCATCAACAAAACATAAACAATACAGTTTGTTTTGCCCCTCCTCCTTGACAAACACACATGGATCAGCTTTGCCCTGGTGAAAACCTAGAGAAAGCAATGTCTCAGTGAGTTTTGTGTTCCAACACCTGGCACTCTGCTTGAGACCATATAAGGATTTCCGCAGTTTACAGACCATTCCCTTCTGTATCTGCATCCCGTCAGGTGGAAGCATAAACAGCTCCTCCTCCAAAAGCCCGTACAAAAAAGCTGTATTAATGTCATGATGGGAAACATGCAGTTTCTCCTCTGCAGCTATCTTGAGCATCAGCCGAATGCTCTCATATTTGACGGTGGGTGAGTAGGTCTCGTGGTAATCCTGTCCTGGTACCTGTGAAAAACCTCTGGCAACCAATCTGGCTTTGTGTCTGACAACCTTGCCATTCTGGTCTGTCTTGGCCTTGAAGACCCATTTGCTGCCAACCAGTCTCATTCCTGGGACTACCGGTACCAGTTCCCAAGTTTGGTTCCTATTCAAGGAATCAACTTCAGCCTTCATGGCATTAAGCCAAGGCTCAGCATCTTTAGAGGTTAACTCCTGAACCTCTTTGAAGCTTGAAGGTTCCCATACCTTCTCTGAGCTACTAAGAACAGCAGTTGCTGTCTTAGCAAACTCATCAGCAAATCTCTTTGGAGGTCTGCCCTTTGTGGCTCTTTCAGATCTGCGTACTAGACGCAAGTCTTCTGGACTCATCTCCTCTTTCTTAGGAGAAAAGTGACCAATGGTGAACAGTGGTTCTTCCAGATCATTGTCAGACGCATCAGATGGTCTGACTGAGGCCTTTGCGCTCTTGTAGTCTGCTGTGTCATCACTGTCACTGACACCAGCAGCAGCGCCGCCCACTGAACTGGAATCCGAACTCTGATCATCATCATCGTCATCATCATCCTCAGCAGCTTCCTCAGCTTTAGCTGCTTCTTTGACATCACCTTCATCCTCCTCTGGGTAACTCTGGAAAATTCCCACATTTTCCCCCCACTTAGGATTGTACTCAACACTCTTTGTGAACTTAATGAACTTAGAGTTGGTCATCCACACCCTGTATGCACCTTTTCGTACCCCATGAACAAACCATGTGCCCCACGCTTCCCAAGCTTGTTGCTCTGTGGGGTGTGTACCCACATGTCAGAACCAAAGATTCTCATGTGCTTGATGTTGGGTTTCTTACCAAACATCTTCTCATAGGGAGTACAACCAATAGGTGATGACAATCTGCGATTATAAGTGTAAGCAAAATTCGACAGAGCCTCCCCCCAATACTTATCAGGGAGATTGGCATCATGCAACAATGTTTTCATTCCTTGCAGCAACGTTTGATTTGCTCGCTCCGCAAGCCCATTCATCCATGGCGATCTAGGCGTTGACAAGTCATGCTGGATTCCCTTCTCAGTCAGGAAAGCTTCAAACTGCTGAGAAGTGAACTCCCCGCCTCGATCAGTAAACAGACAACCAATGCGTTTACCATGAACATTCTCCAACCAAGCACAGAATGCCTTGAACTTAGGAAACGCTTGCGATTTCTGCTCGAGCATAAACACATGAATGTACCTGGAAAAAGAGTCAATTAGAACCATGAAGTACCTTGCTCCACCCAAAGAGGGCGCAAGTGGACCAACCAGGTCTGCGTGCACTAGCTGGTAGGGTTTGGAAGCCTGCCTGCTAGACTCCTTGCCTTTTGGAGCAACCTTCACCTTGTTCTCTGCACAAGATACACATTTCATGTGAAACCTACAGGGTTTGATGTTCAAACCCTCAACCATCTCTGGCATCTTGGCCAGTGCCTTCCAAGAGAGATGGCAAAACCTTCGATGTGCATCGTGAATGCATCCTGCATGAAGAACTTTGTTAGTTTGTGCAACACAACAAGAATCAGCATTAGACACAACAGCACCAATGTCATCATAAGTTATACAGAACAAGCCATCCATAAACTTTGCATGCAAAATGTCCTCTTTGCCTTTTCTGATGACACAGACGCTCCTCTTGAAGGAAATCTCAAAACCACGCCCAGTCAGCTGTGGGACACTGAGCAAATTGTCTGCAGCACCTGGAACATAAAGTACATCTCTGATGGTAGTGTGCAGACTTGCCAGTTTCACAGTCCCGACTCCTGCGATTCGCAACGTCTTTCCGTCAGCCAGGTGGATCTCACCTTCTTGAGGTTTGAAGGAGATAAAGAGGTGGAGGTCCTTTGAGACATGGCGGGTACAGCCTGAATCAACAACAAACCTGGCTGTGACGTTTGGAGCAGTCTTTGCAGCAAGCAAAACCTTGTTTTCCACCGGCGTGGGCTTTTGCAGCTTGCCCCCCTGCTCCTGGCCATCAGGCTTGCCTTTAGCCTTTGGTGAGGCTGTGCCAGCAAACAAATCCTTTTTTTCGCCTGGCGTGGGCTTTTGCAGCTTGCGGCGCCTGCTCCTGGCCATCAGACTTGCCTTTAGCCTTTGGCGAGGGTGTGCCAGTAAACAAAACGTTGTTTCCTCTGGCGTGGGCTCTTCACCCTCCCTCTGCTTCTGGCCATCTGCAGGCGTCTGCCTCTGTTTACCTTTGCCCTTCCGGCCTCTGCAAAGGCGATGACCTTGGCTCCCACGAGAAACAGAGCCTTCAGCTGCCGACTCCTTGGCTCCCCCTGGAGGCTGGAATGCTGCCTGGGATGACTTGACAGTCAGCTCCCCCTGCAGCTTGCAACCGGTGCCCTCGGCATCCCTGCATTCACTCGCATTCTGGGAAACAGCCAGGACCTCCGATGCAGTCAAACTCTGGGCTGGGATGACTGGCAAATGGGCTATCTTCAAAGCATGCCACATCTTCCGTGCAGTCAGATTGCCAGCAAGCGTCTTTATTTCCTCCAGAGAGACGGACAAGACGATTACGTCAACGGCCTTCGAATTTTCGGCCTTCCATCTATCTGTCAGAGGAACTGGAGGGGCCTCACACACAGTATGCCACACTCCAAACTGACGCAGCAAGCTCTCACACCACACAGCCCAGGTCCCATAATTGTGCCGATTTAACTTTGGGCACTCAGCAGCCTCAGAAGCCTGGAAAAACTCCATTCCAGGTTTTACTTGAGCCTTGAGCCTTTAAAGACGTCTTATCTTAGCAGCTATAAATCTTGAGGCCTTTGGCGCGGCTCCCAGATCCATTAATCTGCCGGAGTTCAAAGGCCCTTGCCACGGCAAACAGAAAAGCCTCACTTTCGCTTTTCCTCCACATACCTTTCAGCAGTCTGTCGCAGTCTTACTCTCCTGTAAGTGCTGTGAATCTGGGCCCATAACCTGTTGTTGGGATACTGCCAGGGAGATAAAGTCCATCAAGGCCCCCAAGCCGTCTGCCGGACGATCCATCTACCTCCCGTAGGCACGCAGCGACATGAGTTTCTAGAAAATATCTTGCCACATTCTAGAGCTCATGCACGCTCTATCAGCAGATAAATGCACAGCCAAAAGTTGCAGTCAGGAGAGCATTATTTACAAGTTTATTCAGCGTTGATCAGAACACAGAAAAACATGACTGACTGCTTTAGTGTCTGCGACAACAGAGAGAAAACGAAAGCAACAGAAAACATAAACATCCTGTGAACAGGAAATACGCAGACTCTGACTCACAAAGCCTGCTCCCTTTTAAGGTGGAACGGAAATATCCTAACAATATTAACCCTTTCCTCCTGCACCTTTTATATCAATCCAAATCTTCTACATCTCCATTATATCCAAAATTCAACGTTAAACTACAAGTGTTATTCCAATCCTACCAATGATTTTAGTTATTTACAATGGTTTTTAAGGTAAATTATGTATTTTCCCCATTCCTTATTAAAATTTTGAACTTCCAGGTTTTTTATTCTTCCGGTCATTTTTGCCATTTCGGCATACTGTAATCCATCAACTCAATCTGCCACTCTTTTTTTTTTTTTACAATAATATTTATTACATTTCATCAATAGACATAACAAAAAAGAAAACATACAACAACACAATAGAAAGGTGAAAAAGAAGAAGAAAAAATAACAAGCTTAAGATACCTAAACAGAAAAAAAGAATCTCAATTAATTAATTAAAATGCACTTTCATAAACATTTTGGTCGACTTCCTCTAATCTCCTCCATCTGAATTTCCTCTTAATTTGAATGTAGCAATTTCCAGTATCATTATTTCATAAAACAATATTACAGTCATATTCCAATTTCTTTACCTTTCTTATAATACATTTTCTTATTTATATATTTAAGTCTAATTTAATCCTAGGCCTGATTTCTTCTTTCAAGTGGTTACATATCTTTAATATTAGAGTATTTGTTCAAATAGTCTTTAAATTTCTTCCAATCTTCTTGGTAGTCCTCTTCTTTCTGGTTGCGGATTCTCCCGGTGAGATCAGCCAGCTCCATAAATTCCATCATCTTCATCTGCCATTCTTCTACCATTGGTAATTCTTGTGTTTTCCATTTTCTGGCTAATAAAATCCTAGCAGCTGTTGTGGCATACAAAAATACTTTCACATCTTTTGGGGGCAATTCAGTACCTACTATCCCAAGGAGAAAGGCCTCTGGTTTCTTAATAAATGTATATTTCATCATTTTTTTTTAATTCATTATAATTTCCCCCCCCAGAAGTCCTTTACCTTGGAACAAGTCCACCACATATGATAGAAGGTACCTTCTTTTTCTTTACATTTCCAACATACATTGTCACAATTATGGTACATCTTTGCCAATTTAACAGGGGTTAAGTACCATCTATACATCATTTTCATAATATTTTCCTTTAACATTGTACATGCGGTAAACTTAACCCCTTTCCAATCTGCCATTCTTCTCTGGTAGGGACTTTATCTTCTTTCCATCTCTGGGCCAATAATATCAAAGCAGCTGTGGTCGCATATATAAATAGTCTTTTCTGCTCCCTTGGGATTTCAGCACCTAGAATTCCTAAAATAAAAGCTTTAGGGGTTTTTTAAAACATTTTTTTCAGTTCATTGTATATCATTTCCCAAAATTCTTTTACTACCTTACATGTCCACCACATATGATAAAAGGTGCCTTCCTCTTCCTTACATTTCCAGCATGTATTTGACCCTGTTTTATACATTTTTGCTAATTTACTAGAAATACCAACAATACAACATTTTCATATAAATTTGTTTCAACGTATAGCATGCTGTAAATTTCAAATCTCAGTCCCATAGCTTCTCTCATGCTGTAAGTGTATCATTACTCAGTGTATCATTACTGATTTAACCAGTTCCTCTTTTTTATGCCATTCTAATATTAATTTGTGCATTCTTGAAAGCAATTTTGTTTTGTTCTCTAACAGCTCTTTTTCAAATTTAGAGGTTTCGTACAAAACAATTCTTTTTGTCCGTCTTAAATATATCATTTAATTGATGGTATTGTAACCAGTCAGTTAATAATTCTCTTATATCCTCAAACCTCTTCAATTTCAGTTGGTGTTCTACTTCCATTAACAGTTCTTTATACGTTCCCCAGTCATTTCTCATATTCAAGTTTTTTTAAAAAAAGATATCACTTCCAGTGGGGAGAGCCACCATGGTGTTTTTTGTTCTAATAGATTTTTATATTTTTCCCATACTTCATAAACCGATTTTCTTAGTACATGATATTAAAAAGCTCTATGTACATTAACTTTCTCATACCACAAATATGCATGCTAACTACATCTATTATCATGACCTTCAAGGTCTAAAACATCAGTATTTTTTAATAATATCCATTCCCTTAGCCAGCATAGATAGGATGCCTCATAATATAATCTTAAATCTGGTAGGGAGAATCCGCCTCTGTCTTTAGAGTCTATCAGCAATTTATATTTTATTTTTGGCTCCTTTCCCTGCCAGATAAATCTGGTAATATCTTTTTGCCATTCTCTGAAGTGACCTGCATTGCTGATCAAGGGTATAGTTTGGAATAAAAACAACATTTTTGGCAATACATTCATTTTAATTACCGATATCCTTCCCAATAATTATAAGTTCATCCTTCCCCACACCTTTAAATTTTTCTTTATTGTATTGTTATCCTTAAAAATATTTCACTAGCTAAATTGATGCAGTGCTGGAGCCTTGTCTGGTACGTTCTTGGATCCCAGCTGAAGTGCCCTCCAAGAGGATGTTTTCTCCCATTAGGGCTGAGCCAGCAAATGAAAGGAGATTCGATCCATACTCTGAGGAGTACAGAGATGCCTTCATGTCCTCCTCATGTATATCCTTGCCTTCCAGCCCAGGGAGTTTCCTCCTACACTATAGGATGCACTCTAGACTATGTACCTTCCAAGGCCTCTCCTTTCACTCAGATCTAGGGACCCCTCTCCTTGGATTCTGTGCTCTGCCTTCTTCTCTCCACCACGTCATCCCTTTTTGAGGCAGCCTGGAAGATGGAGAAAGATGGCGTCTCCATTCCCCACCAAAACGAAGACTGCAAGCTTCTCACCCTCAAAAGGTCTGCTGTGCCAGTTGTCACAGCAAGGTTGTTATGGCTTGCAGAAAAGTGACAGGTGACTCGATCAGGAGAGATACAGTGAAAGCCCAGCTAAGTAACAGTGGTAGGAGAAACAGAATCTTCATTTTCCTCTCATCTGTAAAAGGCTTCATCTTGTTCATTTTAAGAGCTTGGCAGGGTTTTGTGGCACAACGGGTGACAGCAGCGTTATCAAAGAGATTGCACATCCAACTGAAAAGCTGGGATCAGCAGAGATGTGGTTGGCTGCAAAGCATTATGACATCACAATGGGGACTGTTTCTCAGCCTCTGCTGTTGCTAAGCAAACTTTAAAAGTGCATTTTCTTGAAAATGAGAATAGTTACGACAATTCTTGCTCCTCTGTTGGGTATTTTATTTACTTGGCAAAATTTAAATACTACCAGATTGTAATAAAACTCCTGAGCGGTTTACAAAACCACATTAAAATTGTCAATATGACCGTTAAAAACATGTAAAAACATTAAAAAGATTAAAACCAACAGTATATTATTGTTGTTGTTGTTGTTGTTGTTGTTGTTGTTGTTGTTGTTGTTGTTGTTATTTATACCCCACCTTTTCCCCTGACAGGGACGTAAGGCAGTTTAAAGATTAAAACAAAAACAGCTAAAAACTTAGGGGGGGAAACCAATGACTAAAAAACAATTAAACATGGATACAATTAAAACTGTATATATGCACATAATATATATATTAAGACCATACAAATAATTATAATAAAAACAGCATGGCACCTGCCCCTTCATTAAAAGCAGTGAGTTCCCAAAATCCTGGTGGAACAAGAAAGTCTTCGCCTTCCATCAGAAAGACAGCCGTCTAACTTCTCTAGTGACTGAGTTCCAAAGTCTGGGAGCATCCACAGAGAAGGCCCTCTTTCACCTAAACTAAAAAGCCTAAAAAGATTAAAACACATGCCAACCTTCAACGTGCCTTTTACTAAACCAAAAGTGTAGGTGCTGCCATAATAAAATATTGATTTCTTACTAGTGCGGAATAAGTATTATGTGGCACATGTAACAGGGCCAGTTCTGGAGATCAAAGTGGTCAAGTGGGCATATATGGGGTATGGGACTTAATGGAAATTATGGGACAGACTCTGGAATCTGAGAGTTCAAAGAGCAGCCCATACCGGAGAAGACCCCAGGGGTTTATGTCTGATACTGCTTAAGGGAGCCAAAGAAGAACAGGAAAACCTGAGGGGAATCTCAGCAGCAATGTGATGGAGTAGAGGAAAAATTCAGGGAGACTTGGGTTGAGTAAGAATAAGGCAGGTTTCCCCAACCTGCTGCCCTCCAGGTGTTGTTGGGCTACAGCTCCTAATTGGCCATGCTGGGTGGTGCTGATGAGAATTGCTGTCCAAAATGTTTGGAGCACTGTAGGTTAGGGAGGGCTGAAAGAGTGAATAGGCAGATGCTAGGAGTGCTCACTGGAAGGACAGATCCTGAAGCTGAGGCTCAAATACTTTGGCCACCTCATGAGAAGAGAAGACTTCCTGGAAAAGACCTGGGAAAGACCCTGGAAAAGATCCTGAGGAGAAGGGGACAACAGAGGACGAGATGGTTGGACAGTATTCTTGAAGCTACCAACATGAGTTTGACCAAACTGTGACCAGAAGCCTTTCTACTTGGAATAATAGGATTGGAATCGCCCAAAAAGGATGTTAGATTGTTTTTGTATGCCACCACTGCAACAAGAATTTTACTAGCCAAAAATTGGAAATCGCAAGAAATAGCAACAGTATAAGAGTGGCAGATGAAGATGTTGGACTTTTCGGAGCTGGCCTACCTGATTGGAAGAATCCACGATCAGAAGGAAGAGGAACACCAAGAACAATGGAAGAAATTTAAACATTATTTAGCTAAATATATTACAATAGAAGCCACTTGAATTTATCAATTTGGCTTAGGAATAGAATATGACTAAAAGAAGTAAAGAAAGTAATTTGAAAAAGTAAATTTTGTTAGAAAGAAGATATTGGAAAACTGTTAGAAGGGGATACAATAGAATTCAGTTAGGGGGGATTTGGGGAAGACAGTTAACAATGAAAACTAAATTGGATTTTAGAAGGATTATGTGTTTATTTGTATGTTCTTTTTCTTTTTTCCTTTTTTTTCCCTTTTTGTATGTTATATTTGTTATAAACTTGGAAAACCAATAATTTTTTTTTGAAAAAACAAACAAACAAACAAAACAAAACTGTGGGAGACAGTGGAAGACAGGAGTGCCTGGCGTGTTCTGGTCCATTGGCTCACGAAGAGTCGGACACGACTAATTGACTAAACAACAACAAGGAGCCAGAAGAAGACCTCTCTACTGGAAAGGACTTGTCACAAAGTCAGGGCAGCAGACTGAGGAGGGACTACCAGTGTCAGGCTTCAGGGAATCTGCTCCCCCTCCCTCATGGCAGGCTGCCAGTAACGGAAACACAAGAAGCTCTTACCAAGGTCTTTTATTCCATATTCACACAGAGAGATGTAGAAATGTCATCTCTTGGGTAATGGCATTACTCAGAGTAATCTCCTCCTCCCTTCCCTTTTCAGTTGTCAACAGCCCCAGCCCCCTTACTGTGTCTGCTTAGGGACAATTGCCTCTGGGCTCTCTGCTCTCCTACTTTCATTGACCACCTGGTTCTGGGTGAAGGGAGGTCTGGAATGCTCTCTAGTGATAACGTGTCAGCCAGCTATTCCTGCTCTCCTTCTCCCATTATTTCCCAGCTTTGCCTGATCTATACTGTCCTCTTCTCAGGAAGGTTAAGGAGAAAGGGGGGGGGGCTGTCTCCACTATTCCTCCTGCTATATCCAGTACCTGACAACCAGTTGCCAGAGCATCAGCATCCAATAAACAGATGTGTGTATCTGGTAGGGATCTGTTGTCCCCATTGTGCCAACTACTGTGGAGACAGTAGTTCATTTTGGTATATCCTTTCATTAACTCTATGTTCTCATTACAGGGTTGCACTTTTTACTGGGGGTTCACGTCTTGGCTTGCTTACTACATCAATCACCCTCAGTACACTCCTCCATGTAAGTACAGTGGTGCCTTGGGTTACATACGCTTCAGGTTACATACGCTTCAGGTTACAGATGCTTCAGTTTACAGACTCTGCTAACCCAGAAATAGTACCTCGGGTTAAGAACTTTGCTTATTATTATTATTATTATTAGGGGCTGTTTTTCCTTTTTTCAAGTCAGGATTTCAGAATTCCACACCAAAACAGGACGGCAATTTCTAGCAATATTTCAGATATTAGACAGGAAAGGAGGGAAGGAATGCAGAGGTATAGCTTTAGGCTCCAACCCAGTGAAGGGTCAGTAAAAAATACTGTCCCTGTGCAGAGGAGAGAATTTGAGTGGTTTCAATTCAATTTTTCTGAAATATGCAACCTCCTTTTGGAAACCCACGACAGTCTTGTCTAGGAGATGTAGCAATAGAAGTCGCATAGTTAGGCAACATGTAAAATGAAGTTGGTTCCTGCCTGAGTTTGCGAGGCATTGCTTCATAAGGAGGGGCACACATAAAAAAACTCCAGAGATGTCTAAAGATGAGGCTTCTAAGGAGAACAAGGCCTATTCACTATACAGTTTTACCTCTACTTATGTATCCCTCCGGATACGTAAACATCGGGTTGTGAACACAGCAAAACCGGAAGTGTATACTTCTGGGTTTCGCCACGCGCACAAGTGCAGAAGCGCCCTGTGCACCTCACACGTGCGCAGAAGCGGTGCCTCTAGATACAGACTTTTCAGGTTGCAGACGGACCCCTGGAATGAATTAAGTTCGTATCCAGAGGGTCCACTGTATAACCAAAAAAAGGCTTAAGTAGACTTCACATTACAGTGGTACTTCTGGTTGCGAACGGGATTCGTTCCGGAGCTCCAGTCAGATCCTGAGGAATTCGCAAACGGAGGTGCTGCTTCTGTGCATGCAGTGGCGCAGTTTACCACTTCTGTGCATGCATGAGGTGCATAGACTGCTTCTGTGCATGTGCGCGCAGCGAAACCCGGAAAAATACTTCCGGGTTTGCCACGTACGTATCCCAAAGGATACGTAACCGGAGATGAACTTAAGTAGAGGTAGCACTGTATATGTAAGACTAAGGTGGGATCTAGACACATAGAAAACGTTGTGAAAATCCTTTTAAAAAAAAAATATTGAAAAATATATTGAATTTGCCATAGCTCACGATTGCCATCTTGTATAATGCACCTTACAACACACTTGAAACGTTTTAATTGCAGCTGTATAGCTGAGTCCTAATTATGTTTTCATTCTGTTTTCTAGCATTTGGGAACAAGCAAGTTACTATTTCTGCCCTTGTGTTTCTGGTATGTATGGGCAGGAAGTGAGGGAGGGTAAAAAAATTGAATGTGGAACACACACACACACACACACACACACACACACACACACACTTTTGCATATACTCTCCCAAGACAGGCGAACTAAGAAGGGAGACACTTTCATTTTTTGTGCCGTTTCCTTAGTGAATATCTATTTGCACTTGCAAAAGCAGCCTGATGCTCCTTTGTGTGTGCATGTACAGAATCTCCTTTTGCATTGCGAACTTTCTTCTTTTTTTTCTTTTTCTTTTTGCCATTATGTCTTTTATTAATGAGATTCATTAATGTCATTACAGAGTTAACTTCAGACATACACATACTATATATATATATATATATATATATATATATATATATCTTAAATTAGTTTAACTTAGAATGTAAATTTGACCTACTTCCACTTAGATTTCAGCTAAGCTAAAATCATATAACGGTGCATAAAATAAAATAAAACAACAACAACAAACTGAAGTAAAATAAATATAGACTTCCCATCATTTCCCGATCTAGTTGACATTTGTGATTTTGAATGTACTTATATACATTCTAATACTTTCTTACAACCTAGTGTACCGATTTTCCTTTTTTTTTGCCAATAAATTTTTATTAGTTTTCCATACAATTATACATTTTTATCCAAATTTTAACATATCATCTCTTTTTGAACTTCCTTCAGCGTCTCTGACAATCATCCATATTTATATCTTTAATACACATTCCCTTCATTCGTATTGCCATTAAACTTCCCTTCTCCTTCTATTTCTTATTAACAATACTTCTTTGTTTTTACAGTGCCTCCTGAAATCCCACTAGTGTTGTTTTCACGTCACACACATTTTTCAGATACTCTACAAACTTTCCCCAGTCTTCGATGAACTTTTGGTCTCTGTTGTATCTAATTTTCCCAGTCAGTTTGTCCAGATCCGCATAGTCTGTCAGTTTCATTCTCCATTCTTCTATCGTCGGTATTTCCTCTTGTTTCCATTTCTGGGCCAACAAGATTCTAGCTGCCGTAACTGCATATTGGAAAAGTTTACAGTCTTTTCTTCTTATTTCCTTTCCTGTAATCCCTAAAAGAAAAGCCTCTGGTTTTTTTTACAAAAGTATATCTTAACATCTTTTTCATTTCATTATAAATCATTTCCCAAAAACTTTTCACTTTCTTACATTCCCACCACATATGGAAGAATGTTCCTTCTTTTCCTTTACATTTCCAACATTTATTACACGTCTTATACATCTTTGCTAGTTTTACTGGTGTAATGTACCATCTATAAAACATTTTCATAACATTTTCTTTCAACGCCATACATGCAGTAAATTTTACATTCTCTTTCCACAGTTTTTCCCAATTATCAAATTGTATGTTTTATCCAAAATCTTTGGCCCATTGTATCATTACGGATTTAACCTCTTCATCTTTCGTATGCCATTCCAACAATATCTTATACATTTTTGACAAAGTTTTACATTCATTGTTTATTATATCTGTTTGGAATTTAGAATCTTTTTCTACATAACCTCTTTCTTTTAAATCTTTTTTAAACATTTCGTTTACCTGGAAATAATGCAACCAGTCATATACATGGTCTTTAACTTGTTCATATGGTTTTAGTTTCCATTTTCCTCCTTCTTTAATTACCAATTCTCCATATGTGATCCATTTACCTCTCATATTAATCTTTTTTACACTCATAACCTCCAACGGAGATAGCCAATGTGGAACTTTTGGTTCCAGTAAATTTTTATATCTTTCCCATATTTCTATTAGCGAACTCCTGAAAATGTGGTTTCCGAAACCTTTATGGACTTTCTTCTTATCACACCATAGATACGCGTGCCAACCAAATCTGTTTTGAAAACCTTCAAGATCTAGTAACTCCTTATTTTCTAATTTTATCCATTCCTTTAGCCAACATAGGCATGCTGCTTCATAATATAATTTCATATCTGGTAGGGCGAAGCCTCCTCTTTCTTTTACATCTGTCAATAACTTATATTTTATTCTTGGCTTCTTCCCCTGCCAGATATACCTTGAAATCACTCTTTGCCATTCTTTAAAAATTCCTATCCCCTTTATAATGGGGATAGTCTGAAATAAGAATAACATCTTTGGCAGTACGCTCATCTTTATCATAGAAATTCTGCCCCAAAAAGATAGTTTCATTCTACCCCACACCTCCAGATCATTCCTTATTCCCTTCCAAACCGGAATATAATTATTTTGATACAAATCAATATTTTTGGGAGATAACCAAATTCCCAGATATTTTACCTTTTTCACCACCTCTATCTCTGTCTGTTGCTGCATTGTTTCAATCTTACTTTGTTCCATATTTTTTGCAATCATTTTAGTCCTTTTCTTATTCAGTCTAAATCCGGCTACCCTTCCAAATTGTTCAATCTCATCCAATACCTCTTTTACACTTTCTATTGGTTCTTCGATTGTTATTACCAAATCATCGGCAAAGGCTTTAACTTTATACTCATTCTGACCTACTGTCACCCCTTTTATTTGTTTATTTTGTCTAATCGCATTTAAAAAGACCTCCAGAACCGTTATAAATAACAATGGCGAGAGCGGGCAACCGTGTCTTGTTCCTTTAGATATTTTTATATCTTCTGTAATTACACTATTGACTATCAATTTTGCTCTCTGTTCTGTATAGATTGCCTTAATACCATTTAGAAACTCTTTCCCCACATCCATATGTTCTAAATTTTTCAACATAAACTCCCATACAATATTATCAAAGGCCTTTTCTGCATCCACAAACATTAAAATTGCTTGTTTCTCATTCCTAGCAGTCAGATATTCTAGAACATTAATTATATTCCTTATATTATCTTTCATTTGTCTGCCTGGTAGGAAACCTGCTTGATCTTTATGGATAATTCTTATCAGTATCTTTTTCATTCTCTTCGCTAAAATCCCCGCAAATATCTTGTAGTCCGTGTTCAATAATGAAATAGGCCTATAATTTTTAACTTGGGTTAAATCCGATTCTTGTTTTGGAATCAAAGTAATATATGCTTCTTTCCACGTTTCTGGGATGTCTCTTTCTTTTAAAATATTGTTCATAACTTCTTTCAATGGGGTCATCAACACATCTTTCATTTCTTTATAATAACTTGATGTAAATCCGTCTGGTCCCGGGGCTTTCCCTCTCTTCAACTCTTTTATGACCTCTTTTACTTCCTCTGTTTCTATTGGGGCGTTCAGCTGGTCTTTTTGTTCTGTCGGGATCTTCTGCACCTTTTTATCTCTTAAATATCTTTCTATTTTCTTCATATTATTCCTTTCTTTATTTCTGTACAGTTGCCTGTAGAAGTCCAAGAATCCTTTTCTGATTTCTTTCGGATTAACTGTCTCCTCGCCATTTACCATAATTTTATTGATTGTGCTCTGCTCCTTTCTCTTTTTAAGTTGCCACGCAAGCCATTTTCCTGATTTATTAGTGAACTCAAAGTTTTTCTGTCTTAACCTTTTAATATTCCATTCCACTTCCTTGTTTATTATCATTCCAAATTGAGTTTGAAGGGTCTTAATCTCTTGCTTAATTTTTAAGTTGTTTGGTTTTTTTATTAATTTTTGCTCATTGTCCATAATCTGCTTTAAAATTTCTTTTTTCCCTTTTTCCCTATTTTTATTCTTCAATGAGTTCTGCTGAATGAAAAATCCTCTCATAACTGCTTTGCTTGCGTCCCAAACTATATTCATCTTTGTACCTTTATTGATATTGTCCATAAAATATTCAGATAATTTCTTTTGTGCTTTTTCTACAATCTTCTGGTCATCCAGCAAGTAGTCATTAATTCTCCATCTGAAAGTTCTTTCTTCAAAACCTTTTAGTTCCATTTTTATTGGGTTGTGATCTGAAATTACTTTGAGTTGTATTTCAATTTGTTGAATTCTTGGAGTCAATTCATTCGATACCCATATTTGAACTATTCTTGACATTGACTGATTCGGTTCTGAGTAATAGGTAAATTGCTTCTCCAATGGGTGTCTAAGTCTCCAGATGTCAATCAAGTTACAGTTCTTAGTCATCATAAAGAAGGTCTTAGGCAATTTCCCTTCTTTATTCATTCCTTCTCTTAGTCTATCCATTTCCAATGAAACCACTCCGTTCATGTCTCCCATTATTATAATTTTCTGATCCATGTATTCAAATAATTTTTCCTCCAGAGCTTTGTAAAAATCAGTCTTATTTCCATTTGGTGCGTAGATCCCGACAATTATTAATTTTTTGCCTTGCCATTTGATCTGAACTGCTATAATTCTTCCTTCTTCATCTTTAAATATTTGGTGAGATTCAATTTTGTTTTTAATATATAACACAACTCCCCTTTTTTTCTCTTTGTCCGAAGAAATAAATTCATTCCCGAGTCTTTTGTTAATCAGAATTTTCCTGTGTCTCTTTGCCACATGTGTTTCTTGTAAACATATGATGTCCAAATTTTTCTTTTTAAAAAATTGTTCAATTTTGTTTCGTTTCTTCTTATCATTCATCCCATTAATGTTCCAATTCCATAATTTTAACGCCATAATGTCTTCCAATTGAATAAATTTGGTTTAGTTTCCTTATAACCTATCTACCTCTTCTTCTTCTTCTTCCTTTTCTTCTTCCGATTTCTTTCCGTTCTGTTCTTCTTCTCCTGATTCAGACTCTTCCTTGGATCCTGCTCCTCCTTCTGCACCTTTGACCGCTTCTTCTTCCACTTGTAATTCCTTGTACCTTCTCGTAAATTTCCCTATTTCTTCTGGGCTTATCAATCTGTGTTTCTTGCCTTTGTAAAAGAACGAGACTCCCTCAGGAAATTCCCATCTGAAGTCAATCTTGTTTTTCTTAAGGATCTGCACCAATGGCTTATATGGGTCTCTGTTTCAACAGCCTTATTGGTATATCTTTAAAGATAATTATGTAATTCCTGTCTATGTATAGTCTTTTATCTCTGTTCTTCTGTAATATCAAATTTCTCATCTCTCTGTCCTTGAATGTAATTAAGCAGTCACCAGGGAATTTCCTTGCTTTACTTGTCCTTACTTTCATTCTAAATGCATTTTGAACTGTTTTTGCAACTTCTTCTACTGGCATCTCCAGCCACTGCACAATTTCCGTTATCAGTCTCTCTCTTATATTTTCGTTCTGTATCTCCGGCACTGATCTCAGCCTCAGATTCACTTCCCTCTGTCTCAGCTCATTCATAGCAATCACATCTTTAATTTCTTCCTGTGATTTGTTTATTTCCATCATCTCAGTCTTCATCCTCTCTTCCTCCCGTTTTACCTCTCTCATTTCCAATTTTGTCCTCTTCATCCCCTCCTCCAATGATTGAGTTCTTTTAGATACCTCTTTTATTTGCCCTTTCAGTTCATTGACTGTCTCATCAATTTTTTTATCCATTTTCCCAATTTTATTATCCACTTGTTCCAATTTTGTTTCCAATTTTTTTCCCACTTTGTTTTATCTCTGCAAACATTCTCAATATTTCTGTTCTAAACTCTGTTTCTTGCTTTGATGCTCTCCTGTCAGTCGACGCCCCTCCCTCTACCCCTTTTTTTGGTTGATGTGACATTTCCCTTCACAAAAATACCAAAATATAACCAATACAAAAACAAATTTCTCAAATTAGTTATTTGCCTTAAATTTAGTCAATATAACTTAAACAGTTTCCCAATTGTTCAAATAATTTTTACCGTTACAATTTTGATATCCTTTCCAAAACATAAAAATACAGAATACAATTACTTAGCATTACTCCGTAATTTTAAAAAATAATATAGGAAGGGAAGGAGCGGATCGTAACTTTTATAAGAGGGAATGCTTCCCCCTTTAACCACTTCTAAACATAAAGAGGCTGTCAAAACCTGAACCAGAATTAAGATGTAGGCCAGTCTTCTTGCCCCCACTCAGGCTAATCCTCAGTTAGATTCTTTAGATGTCCTCTTGGATATTTCATGAACTGAATAAAACTATAATCCAAAAATAAATTGAATTGAGATAATAAAATTGTAATCCAGGTTGTAATCCGAATAATTTAAATTGCATTCCAATAAGATATCCAAATATGGTTGTTTCCTAAAAAAGAAAAAAGAAAAATTCCTTTATTTCTTGATATTTTATGTACACAAGGGTACATTCCAAATGAGACAATTGTGAACCTGGGCAACAAGTCTGCCTGCAAAAAGATGACAAAACTCTTCGTACCTTCACTGTTAAAATATATCTTCCATGATTCCTCTCTGGATCAGGTCTGCACAATGTATGACCATCAAAGCCAAATATAGTCTGCTAGTGATGGATAGCAGTGTATTCAAGACTTCGTAATTCTCTTGGCTCTGCTGCCTGCGTATGTGTGTGAAGCATCTGGCAGGGAACAAATATTGGCTGGTGGCTTGTACGTAGGCTGGGTAGTCACACATTCTTGAAAGTAAATGCCAGTGATATCTAAGGGTTATACTTCAAAGTAAATTCTCTGAGGACTGGGACATCGATTCAAGAAATGGATGAGGTCATTTGCGCAAGTCACCTTGTTGTCGATGTTACCAGGGCTCTGCAATATATTTTCCTTTCTTGATGCCCATGTTCTTTCAAATCGTGAAAGCTCAGTGAGGGTCCCTCTATCTCTCCCAGTGGGTGTGAGTGGAAAATTTGATGCGATTCTCCCTGGCTGATCTTATTTTATATTTAGCCATTCTTCTAGACTGCCTTTCATCTCAAGGGATCTCAGAATGGTGCATAAAGCACCTTCATCTTCCCCATCATTGTGGGGACAAGCTAAATTTATGATTCTACAGTTAAAGTCTGAAAATCTAATGCTTTTTTATTTTTGCAAATTTTTTTTCAGTTGTGTGAAGCTGGGAATCATTTTATCAATGTTGCATTAGTCCATCAAAACCAATCAGGTCTGTAGTTCGTTCATAATTGCTTACATATGATGATCCTCCTAATGTTCTGTCTGTCCGGGGTAGAAATTCAAGTGACCATATCTAGTGGTGAACTTTGGTAATTTGGTACCCTGAGCAAGGACAAAATTTGGTGCCCCCTAAATATTTCCTATTTTTCACAATAATTCATTTGGGGGCAAGTCTGTGAACACTCATGATGCTTCTTTATCTACATATGTATACGATTACATAAGAACACTCAAAGTACACATGTCCCAATACAATGGCCTTTAACCCAGAGTCATAGTTTGGCCCAGTAGAAATTTAAATTTCCAGGAAAGGGAATAGGCAATAAGATGACAAACCAGAATTTAGGATACAGTGGTACTTCGGGTTACAGACACTTCAGGTTACAGACACTTCAGGTTACAGACTCAGAAATAGTACCTCGGGTTAAGAACTTTGCTTCAGGATCAGAACAGAAATTGCGCGGCGGCAGCGGGAGGCCCAATTAGCTAAAGTGGTACTTCAGGTTAAGAACAGTTTCAGGTTAGGAATGGACCTCCAGAACAAATTAAGTTCTTAACCTGAGGTACCACTGTATTTGAAAACGTAATTTATTACAGATATATAGGAATGGAGGAGAAATGTGATTCACTACTCATTTAAAACAAAATCTGTCAAATTCATACTTTCCAAAATGGCATGTGAACCAAAACACATCTATTATTTGAAATTTGCACCTGTCTGAATTTTGTTTTGAAGTTCTTTAACCACACAATGTTTACAAAAAACCATTATATTAGGGGAAATTGCTTGCAAAAAAAAGGTAACAGCATATTAAAATGTGCTTATTCGGAGAAATTCATGCAAAAATGTTGATTGATTATTTTTTTTAATTGCAAATTGCTGCAAAATATTGACAACAGAATTTAACATTGGGACACTGAGAAACTGCGAGAGATTTGACAGGTCCCTCGATCCCTATATTCAACCAAGTTCAGCTCAAAGCAGACCCATTGAAATCAATGGACCTAAGTTAATAGTGTCTATTAATTTCAGTGGGTCTACTCTGATTTAGTATGTCTAAACCCAGAATTCCCGTGTCAGATTTGTCAAGCTCTTACAGCGGCAATACAGTGTGCTGCTCTTTAGTAGGAAATACGGTATGCTAGAATTATTTTGCTGCCATTTTCCTATGGTGGGAGTACCGCCGCACTATTGTACATTCTGCATCTACGCCATACGATTTAAAACACTTTGCAATTTGTTTAAAATAGTCCTTTCCCCCCACCCCCTCAAATCCTGGTAACTAAGATTGTGAATGTGAGAAGAATCCTTTTGTTAGTCCTTTCCATAACACTTGTTCTCAGGAATACTTGGCTCAGAAGCTGTCACAGTTAAAATGTGTTTGAAGCTGATTTCTAACTGTAGTGTGGTCAGTAGACAATAGAAATTCATAGGTTGGAATTGACTTCTCATTCCTCAAACTGTTATAATGAAATATTGGTCTTTTTTCTTTTCCTTATAGGCAATAAAGGCTCTTTCCCAAGCCCATCAATCAACCCTTTCACATGGCTGTTTCTGTTTGTTTCCTGCCCAAACTATACATATGAGGTGCTATTATTATTATTATTATTATTATTATTATTATTATTATTATTTCCCCCTTCTTGCCTTGCATCTGTGCCAGCTAGCTAAGCAAGTACTGTAAGTACTTTTAATTCACTTACAGATATCTCACAGTGACTTCTGCTTTGATCCAGGTCACTCACGGCTTCCAGAGGAGCTGTCTTTGAAAAAGGTGTTGGCTTATAAAATGACCTTGTTTTACAAAAAATAAAAAAGGTTTATAAGCTTTGTCCTGAATCTGTTGGAAGATTCAGGGCAGATAAAGGAAAGTACCATATTTTTCGCTCTATAACACGCACCCGACCATAACACGCACATAGTTTTTAGAGGAGGAAAACAAAAACAAAATATTCTAAATAAAACAGTGGATGTATGATTTTTGTGGTTCATGCTGTGGCCACAGACATGTGATCTGACGGTGAGTTTGGGGTAGCCCAATGCAAAAATCCTGAGCATCCATATGGATCCATGCTTTGTAACCATGTTTTTGCACCACTGTGGCCCCAGGCAACAGTGGGTGCGTGGTTTTTTGGGTGCAAGCTGTAGCCATGGACATGCTATGTGATCTGATGGTGAATTTGGGGTGACCCAGTGCAAAAATCCTGAGGATCCATGTGGATCCGTGCTTTGTAACCAGGCTCTCTGTCCCTCTCTTCTCCCCACTCAGCAACTCTTCTCCCGCTTTGCTGTTTCAAAGCGAGCAAAGTGAGCCACGGAGGAGGGAAGGAAGGGGAACCATGGATCCTCTGCTCACGACTGCAGCAGATCCCCCCGCCATCCGTAGGCATTCGCTCCATAACACGCACAGACATTTCCCCTTACTTTCTAGGAGGAAAAAAGTGAGTGTTATGGAACAAAAAATACGGTACTTCTTCACACGGCATATAGGTAAACTATGGAACTCACTTCTCCCAGGGGGCCAAGGCTGGCCGCCAACTTTGATGGCTTTAAAAGAGTATTAGACAAATTCGTGGAGGAGAGGGCTATCAATGGCTACTAGCCAGGATGGTGTCGGGATTCACAGAATGCTGTGTGAGATAGTAAGTCTGCAGGCTTGAGTTTGCTAGCTGATGCAACTGGCTGATGCAATCAGCCTGCATTACTTTCTATGGAGGTGCTGGGTCAGAATGACTCAGAAGATGTGCTGACAGTTGATTGGCTGTTATCGGTTTAAAATGGAAACCTGTCCAGCAGTAAAGGTGTGGTGTAGAGGAGTGTGGTCACAGAGAGAGAGTTAGAGGTCTTCCTGTTTGCCTTAAGGTGCAGCCAGGTACTCTGTTTTTGACTGTATGAACTGCTCGTGTATTCTAGCCTGTAGATATGTGTATATATAAAGGTAAAGGACCCCTGACCATTAGATCCAGTCATGACCGACTCTGGGGTTGCGGCGCTCATCTCGCTTTACTGGCCGAGGGAGCCAGCATACAGCTTCCGGGTCATGTGGCCAGCATGACTAAGCCGCTTCTGGCGAACCAGAGCAGCGCACGGAAATGCCGTTTACCTTACTGCTGGAGCGGTACCTATTGATCTACGTGCACTTTGACGTGCTTTCAAACTGCTAGGTTGGCAGGAGCAGGGACCGAGCAACGGGAGCTCACTCCGTTGCGGGGATTCGAACCACCAACCTTCTGATCGGCAAGTCCTAGGCTCTGTGGTTTAACCCACAGCACCACCTGCGTCCTGTGTATATATAGCTCACAATAAATATACTGCACTGAAGAACCTGGAACTCTGAGCATTTCTGCTAAAGCACCGCGGAAAATTCTATACTCTGCTTCCACAGATGGAGGCAGTAATGCTTCTGGATTCCACTTGCTTTAAACCACAGGAGAGGAAAGGGATCTTGTGCTTGGGTCCTGTGTTTTGGTTTCCCACAAGCATTTGGTTGGCTACTGTAAGAACACAATGCTGTATTAGATGGGTCATTGGCCTGATCTAGCACGCTCTGTTGAAGCTCTTTGGTAACATGCATGGTTTGCCTTCATAAGGCCACAGTTAATTTGTGGTCCAAGCTAGGATGCTAAGGAGAACCGCAACCTGGTTTCTTGAGTGAAGCTTTGAACTCCGTTTTCACAAACTGGACCCTTCACCTTCCTGGGTCTGCCTTTGTAACACCAGTTCTTATAGAATCCACTTCAGCTCCACTTCAAGTCTCCTCCCATCGGTGGTGTGTATTTTGTCACCTTTGTGTCCACTCACCTACCAGTGCTTTGCTACTTGGGATGCGGGTGGCGCTATGGTATAAACCACTGACCCTCTTAGGCTTGCCGATCAGAAGGTTGGCAATTCGAATCCCCATGACAAGGTGAGCTCCCGTTGCTCTGTCCCAGCTCCTGCCAACCTAGCACTTCGAAAGCACACCAGTGCAAGTAGATAAATAGGTACTGCTGTGGTGGGAAGGTAAACGGCATTTCCGTGCACCTTGGTTTCCGTCACGATGTTCCATTGTGCCAGAAGTGGTTTAGTCCTGCTGGCCACATGACCTGGAAAGCTGTCTGTGGACAAACGCTGGCCCCCTTGGCCTGAAAGCGAGATGAACGCCGCAGCCCCAAAGTCGTCTTTGACTGGACTTAACCATCCAGGGGTCATTTACCTTTTTACCTTTTTATTTTTTTTTACTTGGGCGAATTACCTATGTATTCAAAATGGAAGGACTGGCACTGCTGGAGTCAAGAGTTGGCAAGACCTTGTATAAGACAGACAGTTGTTTATCTTTAAGTCAACTGTGATTTCCCCCCCTTTGCAACAGATTGGTTCTTGGATGAGCTTTACGGTGATGACACAAACACTGCCAGGTAAGAGCAGAAATAGTCTCCAGCTGGGATCTTTGAATAAGCTTGTTCACCATCACCCAGAAAACATTCTTGATGAGAAAATGATCAGCGTGGCTTAGAATTAACTTCTGCAATTGAAGTAGAAATTATAAATATTACATATCCTAACTGAGTCAAGTATTTGTGGTTGATCATCTTTTCAATAATGAATTTAAATATACCTATATATTATCAATATTCATTTAAGTGTGATGGAAGTGCACTTGGGGTAGTCAATGTGTTGGCCTCTCATCTTCTCTGACCATTGACCATGTTGACTGAGGCTGATGGGAATTGGAGTCCACATTACATTGAAGGGCATTATAGTGGCTACCCTCTGGTGTAAATTAATTTTAGAGATGGGTGGAACCCACAAGTTTTGTTCTGCCACATTTTTGGTGGATAGAGCAGAATGAACATTTCCTTGGAAGAACTCCATAGCTGACCCCAGCGATCAGCCTTCTCTATGGTTCGATCACCGAAGAATTGATGCTTTTGAATTATGGTGCTGGAGGAGACTCTTGAGAGTCCCATGGACTGCAAGAAGATCAAACCTATCTCAGGGTGGTTCACAACATAAAATCACAGTATAAAGAGCACAAAATACATAATAAATTCATCAAGTGCATCCATAGCAAATGATTGGGGAAGATGCGGCACATGGCGAATTTCTGTCTAGGCATTAACCACTGTTAATGCGGGAGCAATGACACCTGGCTTGGGAGCAGTACATGTGAAAAGGATCTAGGAGTCTTGGTTGACCACAAACTTGACATGAGCCAACAGTGTGATGCGGCAGCTAAAAAAGCCAATGCAATTCTGGGCCTCATCAGTAGGAGTATAGCATCTAGATCAAGGGAAGTAATAGTGCCACTGTATTCTGCTCTGGTCAGACCTCACCTGGAGTACTGTGTCCAGTTCTGGGCACCACAGTTCAAGAAGGACACTGACAAACTGGAACGTGTCCAGAGGAGGGCAACCAAAATGGTCAAAGGCCTGGAAACGATGCCTTATGAGGAACGGCTAAGGGAGCTTGGCATGTTTAGTCTGGAGAAGAGGAGGTTAAGGGGTGACATGATAGCCATGTTCAAATATATAAAAGGATGTCACATAGAGGAGGGAGAAAGGTTGTTTTCTGCTGCTCCAGAGAAGCGGACATGGAGCAATGGATCCAAACTACAAGAAAGAAGATTCCACCTAAACATTAGGAAGAACTTCCTGACAGTAAGAGCTGTTCGACAGTGGAATTTGCTGCCAAGGAGTGTGGTGGAGTCTCCTTCTTTGGAGGTCTTTAAGCAGAGGCTTGACAACCATATGTCAGGAGTGCTCTGATGGTGTTTCCTGCTTGGCAGGGGGTTGGACTCGATGGCCCTTGTGGTCTCTTCCAACTCTATGATTCTATGATTCTATGAGCCACCTCCAGCACCATAATTAAAAAGTATAATAAAACATTAAACATTTTTTAAAAAATCCCTATACAGGGCTGCCTTCAGATGTCTTCTATCACCCAAGCTGTTCCTTCACATGCCCAGGTTCAGCATTTCCCATAATGTCTCAACCAGGAAGTTGTGGTTAAGGACTCCCCTCAAACTAGGATATGACCTGAATTGAATCCCAAACAGAACAAGGGATGGCAGCATGAGTCTTCCTCCCATCTCTATGCCTTACTCATGAGGAAGAAGGAAGATAAGCTGCAGCTGCTGGACTCAATTTAAAAAAGAAGAAGTTTTACACCCTCTCCAGAAGCTATTCCTGCACAGATAGGGACGGGCAAGACTTGGTCATATGCTTAAAACAAGTATGTTATGTTTTGTGTCTTCATTATGTGGTTAGATAGGAAATGATTCTTCTGACATGCCACTGTCGATACCTGGAGATCAGTAGTCTTTTTCTTCCCTCTCTCTTCAGTTGGAGTTTTTGCGTTACTAATGGCTATCCAGATGGCTCAATGGGCCCGAAAGAAGCACCAACTTTACCTGAAAAAGTGCACTACCTACAGATGGAGAAAAAGAGCCATGATTCCATTTATACTGTAAATGCAAGCAGAAACGGCCTGTGATGATCCAGCATGAAAAGTAAAACAACAACAGAAATTTGATCTGTTTCGTTATGGAATGGGATGCAGTAGACTTGCTTTCAGACACACCTACATTTAAGTTTTTTGTTTAAGTGAAATGCAAATATCAGGCCCAGGATCCAAAGTACTATTTTAAGTTAACAGAGAGCATGTGCTATACCTACAAAATGCCACGTGGTTCGTCTTTGCCATCTCCAGCTCAAAAGAGTTGTTGGGAGCAGGCTAGATGGTTTCTGCCCCTGGAGCCACTGCTGGTAGGAATTTATAACATTGGACACAATGTACCAAAGGTCTGACACTGTGGGCTTCTTTGTGTGTCACATTAATTGTAAAAAAAGGACCCTGTTCCCCCCATCTGCAGGTGCGACGTTGGACTAATAATAATAATAATAATAATAATAATATACCTTCCCATCTGGCTGGGTTTCTCCAGCCACTCTGGGTAGCTCCCAACAGATTAAAACAGAATAAAACATCGAACATTAAAAACTTCTCTAAACAGGGCTGCCTTCTGATGTCTTCTAAAAGTCAGATAGTTGTTTATTTCCTTGACATATGATGGGAGGGTGTTCCACAGGATGGGTGCCACTACCGAGAAGGCCCTCTGTGTGGTTCCCTGTAGCTTCACTTCTCGCAGGGATGGAACCGCCAGAAGGCCCTTGGCGCTGGATCTCAGTGTCCGGGCTGAATGATGGGGATGGAGACGCTCCTTCAGGTATACTGGACTGAGGCCGTTTAGGGCTTTAAAGGTCAGCACCAACACTTTGAATTGTGCTCAGAAACGTACTGGGAGCCGATGTAGGTCTTTCAAGTCCGGTGTTATGTGGATAGAATCTCACATGCAGACCAGGTTCTAGTTTTTTGTTTCAAACAAACCATAGGCACAGATCTAGAAATAAACCAAGAACACAGGCAGATTTGTATGACACACACAAAATCAGGTTTTAGTTTGCTTGTGTAGTGCATGGCACTAGGCCTCACAGGGCTTTTTGATACCCAGTGTAATAACTCTTCCGCTTAAACCAACTAAGCTAAGGCTAGAATTTGATATCGCCCTGCTTAGGAGATAAATCCCATTGCACTCTCTTGAACTTACTTGTAACATGCTTTGGGTCAGGATACATGTTGCTTTAAAACATAGTCACTGAGCTTCACAGCTGCAAATACATATTTTTTTTCATGTTCTAAACATGGCAATGCGTCCATGCAATTATTTTGTTTACTGTCCACCAGAAACAAGCTAAGGTTCATATAAGAATCTTGCTTGAATGGATTACAGACTTCTTATTCTTTCGGGGTTTGGAATTAATTTGCCTCTTCTGATTAGGTAACTCTTGAATGAATGAGCAGATACAAAAGCCATTGTCTGAATTAGTAATTAAATGGTAATTGTGATTAAATATGCTTCTGTTCCTAGGTTATTACGGAATTAGATGACAGGAAATGGATGGATTAAATTAGTTTAAACTTATCAGACTAAGTAAAACTTTTTATTTTCAAATGTATCTAGACTCGATCTAATATAGTTCAATTGTATCAATAACATATTCATTATTTTCTTTATTACAGTACTTATTATTTAAATTGTATGGGAGTTTTAAATAAAAAATGCTATTTTTTGAAAGCTGCGTGCAACATGCATTCTTAAATATTTTGACATGCATGGAAGACATCCATCAATATCTGCATTCCTCTCCCAAAACTGTTACGCATGACCAGTTGTGAAATGACTTCAACTGGATACAAGTCAATGTTCTTGCTAATGGAAAATGTTATTTCTATTATTATTATTATTATTATTATTATTATTATTATTATTATTATTATATTTATTATATTTATTTATATTATTTATACCCCGCCCATCTGGCTGAGTTTCCCCAGCCACTCTGGGCAGCTCCCAATCAAGTGTTAAAAACAATACAGTGTTAAAAAACTTCCCTAAATAAAGTGTTCCCTGAATAAAGTGTTAAAAACTTCCCTAAACAGTGACCTCCTAGACTGAATAGCTGAGAAAACAATTGTAGTTATGGAGAGATGTCATACGAGTCAAGAGGTTTGGCTTTCAGCACCCGAAAGCAGCGGCAAACGGTTCTCTATGAAGAGAACAACATACTGCAAGCCTCTTAGATCATCTTATTGGAGGGCAGGAGAGATCATGCAGTTCCCAGACCTTCCGAGATCTAGAAATGCTGCTGCTGTCTGAGTTCATTATTTTAATCTGTTCCGCTGTTATTGCACTTTTTAAAAAAAGAAAGAAAGAAAGATAACAACAGTTTAAAAACCTAAATAACTAACTGCCATTCCAACTGAAAGACAAGTAAGTTAACAGTACCCTCTAGTGGCTAAAATTTATACACTACACACATGCACACAAACACTTTTATAGGATGAACAAAATCTGTTTACAAAAACTAATTCTTTCCCAGCCTTTTGCACAATGTGAATCCACACAGATCTGTATTACATTGCACACCGCCCTGATACTTCACGTTACAGTAGTATTGATATGCTTTTATAAATAATAAACGAACAGATAACACTGCAACTGATCCACCTGTCTGTCTGTCTACCTGCCTCACACCTCACACTACATTGTGACATCAGGTGTGTGTGGGTGTGGGGGCAGCTGAGCGTGGTTTGTGGAAAACGGCCTCGTGGGCCCAATGGAAACCGGTGCCAAAGGTCCAGTATATTTCCAGTATAAAATGGCATACAATCGGACATAACATAAGTCTGTTAGTGGTGGATTTGTATTGGATCAGCAGCACACACTTTATTAATTAATTAAATCCATCTATTTCATAAAATAAATACACTGCTTGAATGTAAAACACCGTGAGGAAACCCGATCTTTACCGTTGAATCGGAACAAACGTCAGACAGGTTTTCTCTGGATTGACTTTTGCTCTGATTTATCACTGAAGAGCGGATTTTCCCAGGGAAACCCAAGGGGCAAGGACCAGACTGCTTGGACCCATGTCTAGAAATTGAGAGACAAGCAGGAAACCACTCTCTCCTTTTAGTGATATACACATATAGACCAGGGGCAGAGGAAGGGGTGTGTGATGGGGCCGGGCCGCCCCAGGTGTCACTACTGAGGGGAGTGTGGTGTAGTGGTTAAGAGCGGTGGACTCATAATCTGGTGAACTGGGCTCAGCCCCACTCACCTCATAGAGTGTTTGTTGTGAGGGAGAAAAGGAAAGGAGATTGTTAGAAGAGAAGAAGAAGAGAAGAGTTTGGATTTGATATCCCGCTTTATCACTACCCAAAGGAGTCTCAAAGCGGCTAACAATCTCCTTTCCCTTCCTCCCCCACAACAAACACTGTGAGTTGAGTGAGGCTGAGGGACTTCAGAGAAGTGTGACTAGCCCAAGGTCACCCAGCAGCTGCATGTGGAGGAGCGGAGATGTGAACCCGGTTCACCAGATTACAAGTCTACCGCTCTTAACCACTACACCACACTGGCTTTGAGACTCCTTAGGGTAGTGATAAAGCAGGATATCAAATCCAAACTCTTCTTCTTCTTCTGAGCCACACGTCTCTCTTGGGACTGACGGAGTGGCTTGGGCACCCGCTGGCTCCACGCTGCCCCAAACAATCTGCCTGCTGCCTCCCCCCCCAGCTGTAGGGCGGCTGAGTGGGAGGAGGCAGGCAGACTCCTCGGAAGCCCTATGGAGCATCCTGCCCCGGCTTGCCCTGCCAACGACTGGCCCCGCCCCTGCAGGCAGCTGGCCCCACCCCTGGGCACAGGGCACATATGCCGCCCCAGGCGCCCAATCAGCTTGCTCCGCTGCTGATATAGACAACAGGGTTGCAGCCCCTTTAAAGTTTTTTTTCATAGAGCAGGAGTGACCATAGGCTCAAGATGTTTCTATGGACACTGTTCAAAAACTATATTAACAACTTTTGTTAAAAAAAAAACCCAGAAGACTTTATTACAGATATACGGATGCTATTAGCCCAGAGACAGAAGGAAGAAATAACCCCAGCCAGAGAAGAATGGCAAGCCAGGTTGATGGACTACGCTGAAATGGCAAAATTAACTGGGAAGCTCAGAAATCAAGAAGACAAGAACTTTAAAAAAAGAATGGGAAAAGTTGATAATTTATTTACAAGACCATTGTAAGCAGGGTAAAACATCAGCAGGATTTTAATCACACTTGTAAAGTAATGGAAAGTGTGGATAATTTGGAAGGATAAAAATTGATACAGTGATACCTCGGGTTAAGAACTTAGTAATTCATTCTGGAGGTCCGTTCTTAACCTGAAACTGTTCTTAACCCCACTTTAGCTAATGGGGCCTCCCACTGCTGCGACAGCACGATTTCTGTTTTCATCCTGAAGCAAGGTACTTAACCTGAGGTACTATTTCTGGGTTAGTGGAGTCTGTAACCTGAAGCGCCTGTAACCTGAAGTGTCTGTAACCCGATGTACCACTGTATGCAGTTGTAAATATTATCAGTAGGACCCATGGAAGGGATGGGGGGGGGGTCAGGAGATTCAGAGTAATCTCGATATTTGGATCTTGAATTGCTTTTTGCTGTATGTTTATTTTTTAAAAAATAAAAAAAGACAAAAACTACATTTAGCTCAAACTACAGCTGGCAGGCTGTTAACTGGGACCAGTCACCAGGAACATCTGCTACCTTCATAACCCTGTATGGCTGGGCACCTGGGCACCTGAAGGAATGCCTATTTCCATTCCAACGTCAGTTCAGGTGAGTTTGGCATGCCTTCTCCAGGTGCCCTCATCATCTGTGGTGAAGCAGGTAACAACTGCAGGGTGTAGTTTCTTGGCTGTCATGCTGGTTTATGAATGCCCTGCTCAAGGAAACTTACCTGGTGCCAGGTGCAGCAATAAAAACCGCTAGCACATTTGCAAAGCTAAGCAGGGTCCAGTATGGTTTCAAACTGGAGGGGAGCCATTTATTGAGATTCCTGCATTGCAGGGGATTGGACTAGATGACACTCAGAGTCCCTTCTACAATTCTATGATTCTATGAGGTCATGCCCTCTCAAGCACCAGATGAAGAACTTTCTTCCTCCTATTTTAAAAACCATTTTAACTCCAATTGTGTTTTTATGTTGCTATCTGCTGTTTTATTCTCTGTTGTCTAGTTATTATTTTGCTGTTTGGTTTTATTGCTTTATTCCAATGGTCTGGGATATAGATGGCTTGACAGGTAAGATATAAAAGTGTAAGACACTAAATAATAACTAAATGACAGAATGAAGGTACTATTCCCCCTGGCAAGTCCTATATGTTGCAATTACATGCAATATTAATGATAACAAACATTTAGCTAGGTTGCCTTGAGAGGGAAATGGATGCATTAAGATGGAACTCAATAAATTAGATCTATGTTTAAGTGTCATAGAAGCTGGCAGCCACTGGATGTCACTCTCTGAACATAGTGTGGTAGAGGAAAACCTTGCAAGATTTTAAAAGGGGAGGAAGTAACTGATGACATTCCTGCATAAGTTCTCTCCTGGAAATACTGATGTACAGATCAATGTAGGTACTTATTTATTATGCTAATGCAAAGTAGGCAAAAAAAGAAAGAAAGAAAGTTGGGGTCAGGAGGACAAACTGAAAGAAGATATTTTATTGCAATTGTATAACATCTTCGGGAGTGCATTTAATTTGCTGGTATGTTTTAAGATGGGACGTGAGTGGCGCTGTGGTCTAAACCACTGAGCCTAGGGCTTGCCGATCAGAAGGTCAGTGGTTTGAATCCCCGTGACGGGGTGAGCTCCCGTTGCTCGGTCCCAGCTCCTGCCAACCTAGCAGTTTGAAAGCACGTCAAAGTGCAAGTAGATAAATAGGTACCACTCCGGCGGGAAGGTAAACGGCGTTTCCGTGTGGTGCTCTGGTTCACCAGAAGCGGCTCAGTCATGCTGGCCACATGACCCGGATGCTGTACGCTGGCTCCCTCGGCCAATAAAGCAAGATGAGCACTGCAACCCCAGAGTCGGCCACGACTGGACCTAATGGTCAGGGGTCCCTTTACCTTTACCTATGTTTTAAGATAAACAGTATAAATATTTGGCAGAACCAAGTATCCCCTAAAAGCACTTGTAAGCTTTATGTCATGAAGCCATCAGAGGAGGGTTAAACTTGATCTTGTTCAGAACATCATGGCTGTTGGCATCTGTCTGTTTCAGGAGACAATAGAGGACAGCACATTTTGGGGTGAAGTCAAACTGTTAGAAGCTTGCAGTGCCGGCTGTGGCTGTAGAGACTGATACGGGTGAGATGTGTTTGGGGGCAGGTTAAGCCATCCAGTTGTACTGCAGCAGATGCACCATGGCATTTATTCTCTCTGCGTTCCTCCCAGCAGGCATTCCTCCTCTGGTCACTGCTATGGATGCACGACCTGTCTGTCTCTGTCTCTAGGCATTGCTGTCATCTGCAAGGGATTCCCACACAGCAGGGTTAATGTTGCCAGCCTTCATGTCTCAATAATAATGATGATGATAATAATAATAATAATAATAATAATAATAATAATAATAATAATAATTTATTTATATCCCGCCCATCTGGCTGGGCTTCCCCATATTTAAAATACTGTAATATTTAAAATACTGTAATACATCAAACATTAAAAGCTTCCCTAAACAGGGCTGCCTTCAGATGTCTTCTACAAGTCTGGTGGTTGTTGTTCTCTTTGACATCTGATGGGAGGGCATTCCACAGGGTGGGCGCCACTACCGAGAATGCCCTCTGTCTGGTTCCCTGTAACTTGGCTTCTCGCAGTGAGGGAACCACCAGAAGGTCCTCGGAGCTGGACCTCAGTGTCCGGGCTGAACAATGGGGGTGGAGACGCTCCTTCAGATATACTGGACCGAGGCCGTTTAAGGCTTTAAAGGTCAGCACCAACACTTTGAATTGTGCTCGGAAACTTACTGGGAGCCAATGTAGGTCTTTCAAGACCGCTGTTATATGGTCTCGGTGGCTGCTCCCAGTCACCAGTCTAGCTGCCGCATTCTGGATTAGTTGTAGTTTCCGGTCACCTTCAAAGGTAGCCCCCCATAGAGTGCATTGCAGTAGTCCAAGCGGGAGATAACTAGAGCATGCACCACTCTGGCAAGGCAGTCTGCAGGCAGATAGGGTCTCAGCCTACGTACCAGATGGAGCTGGTAAACAGCTGCCCTGGACACAGATTTGACCTGTGCCTTCATGGACAGCTGTGAGTCCAGAATGACTCCCAGGCTGCACACCTGCTCCTTCAGGACCAGGGAATCCTCCACACCTGCCTGCCTCCTGTCCCCCCAAAACAGTACTTCTGTCTTTGAAGGCATCTTTGTAATGCAGAGTTGGTCTGCCGAAGGGCCTGGTGCCTGAAGCTAACTTCTTATAGAGCACGTCTGTGGGGATCCTGCCATCTTCCATTCTTTGGACGTGACCAAACCAGTGTAGACATTGCTGAGAATGTCTTGGCACTGCTCTAGCAAAAGCCCTGTCCACTTCAGAAGACCCTTCGATGAACTTCCAGCTGTCCAGGTAAGCCCATGTAAGAGAAGGTAACATTTGACATATTCTGGTCGCCGATCATTTAGGGGGCAGAAGTGGCCAACATGGGTTATGTCCAGACTACATGGGACTACAGTTCCCATAATTCCTGAGAGTTGGCCATGTGGCTGGGACTGATGGGACTTGGAGTTAAAATACATCTGGCCAGCATCACAATAGCTATCCTTAATTTAGGGCAGGGAAAGGCAAACTCGCCCTCCAGATGTTTTGGGACTACAATTCCCATCATCTCTGACCCACTGGTCCTGTTAGCATGGGATGATGAGAGTTGTAGTCCCAAAACATCTAGAGGGCCGAGTTTGCCTATGCCTGATTTAGGGCCTTAGAAGTTTTTAAAAAGCAACACTACAGCTTTGAATTTGACCTGGAAACCAAATTAAATAGTTGGTACAATGTTATAATTATATGCTCCAAATATATGGCTGATGGGGCACTGGCTGAGGGCCCATGACTTCAGGAAGACCCACAAGAAATGGCGCAGGAAGGGGGCTGCGGTCCACCCCAGGTGTCATCACTGAGGGGGGTGACAAAATGGCAAGAATATGTGTTTTTGGGGGAAAATAACTCCCGCACCCACCGCACGCCCCTTCCTATGCCACAGCAGGAGCACTCTCCTCTCGAGTGATTTCCAGAAACCAGAAGCTTTGCTGTCTCCAACTTTGCAGGCAGAGCACAGCATTTGTGGGTAGTAGCCTTTGACAGCCCTCCAAAGAAGCAGGTATGTCTTGGCACTTTTAAGTCAGTGGTTTTTATTCACACAATGTTTCCAGTTGCGCCTCAGCTGTGTCATAGCTACGGGAAACTGCCAAGAATAGACCCACATCCCATGTCATTCTGGCCTCCTTCGGGAGAAAGGGTGCAATATAAATTCAACCAATAAAATAATTATGAGTAAGTCCGACACGGCTTCCTTCTAAGTGCAGGAAGCTCCTGCAGCCAATCGGAAGCCGCCCTCCCCCCCTTCTAGAACCCACCTCTCTCAACCAACTCTCAACTGCCTCCCCCCCAACATTCAGACTTGCTCTAATAGCCTGAAAGGACACTGCACTCTTTCTACAACTATGGCTGAGTTTCGCAAAGGTGAGAACCTGGAACCCCATAGGATTATAGAATTGTAGAATTGGGAGGGACCCCAAGGGTCATCTAGCCAACACCCTGCAATGCAGGAATATCAGCTAAAGCATCCATGGCAGATGGTCATCCCACCTCTGCTGAAAAACCTTCAAGGAAGGAGAGTCTACTGCCTCCTGGGGGATTTATCCCCACTGTCAAGCAGCTCTTGCTGTCAGAAAGCTTTTCCTGAAGTTGAGTTGGAATCTCCTTTCTTGTAACTTGAATCCATGGCTTCAGGTCCTGAGGGCCTCTGGAGCAGGAGAAAACAAGCTTCCTCCTTGTGACGGCCCTTGAGATATTGAGAGGGCTGCATGGCGTGGCTCTCATATCCATGTTTCTTGCTCCCCTTTCTCCAGCCCAGGCAGAATTGCAAGGGGTCTGTGCATCTGGCTGGTAAGAAGATGGTCAGAGTTTGGAGCCTAGCCAGGGCTGGCAGTGGGCAGGATTCTGGCATTGCCGCAGGTTGGACTAGATGCCCCTTGGCATCCCTTCCTTGACTGTATTTTTCTTAATTCATCTGCCTGACAACCCAGCAGCCTGGCCCCTGTTTGCCAGCTGATGTCACAAAGTGCTGCTTTGCAAGCAAGCCTTATAATGCCCTGCAAGAGGGATGCCTGTCAGATGACGGTGAGAGACTTGAGAGAGTTTATCATCACTCTGATGATCAAATGAATTCTGAAGGTAGATGGCTCAGAGGAGTGGCATCATCATCATTATTATTATTATTATTATTATTATTATTATTATTAGCGTCACCCATCACTGTTGCATGTGGCTTGGCTCCCTGGCTTGCCTTGTCCACAGATGTTGATAGCTTGGCAGGTCCTCAGCTGTGGTCCCCAGATGATATTTTTTGTTGTGAATTACTGGTTGGTAACTTCCTCTGTTTTTATTTTCCTTTCTGTCTCACAGCTTCTCAGAAAGGAAGGCCACAGCAGCTGCTCTGGCACCGTGGGGAACCACTAGAAGTCGTGGTATGTTAATTCCATGGGGAATCATAGCATCATAGAGTTGGAAGAGACCACAAGGGCCATCGAGTCCAACCCCCTGCCAAGCAGGAAACACCATCAGAGCACTCCTGACATGTGGTTGTCAAGCTTCTGCTTAAAGACCTCCAAAGAAGGAGACTCCACCACACTCCTTGGCAGCAAATTCCACTGTCAAACAGCTCTTACTGTCAGGAAGTTCTTCCTAATGTTTAGGTGGAATCTTCTTTCTTGTAGTTTGGATCCATTGCTCCGTGTCCGCTTCTCTGGAGCAGCAGAAAACAACCTTTCTCCCTCCTCTATGTGACATCCTTTTATATATTTGAACATGGCTATCATGTCACCCCTTAACCTCCTCTTCTCCAGGCTAAACATGCCCAGCTCCCTTAGCCGTTCCTCATAAGGCATCGTTTCCAGGCCTTTGACCATTTTGGTTGCCCTCCAAAATCCATTTCCCACATATTTATTCATTTATATTTCTATACCGCTTTATATTTTTAATAAAAATCTCAAAGCGGTTTACAGCATAATAAATCAATAAAACAATAAAACAATAGCTGGGCAATGCTCCTCCGGCCTCAGGAGAAGCCTCTTCAGTAGGGCTGGCTGGTGGGTCTGGTCCTCGCCCCCCAGGCCAGGTGGAAAGGGCCTTGCAGGGAGCAGCCTTCACCCTCCCACCTGCCCCCTATGTCCCTCCGCTGGCTGGCCGTCCCCTGATGTGGCTGGGGGGAGAGAAAATGGAGAGTGTTTTTAGGCTATTAATAGATAAAAATTTAGTGTTATATTATATTGAGATTAATTGGGATTAAAAAGGAGGGAAAGGAATTGCTGGACAAACAAACTGAATTGGAATACAAAAGAGGGAGGTATGAGGAGGTCCAGAAAATAAGTAAATTCAAAAGTAGTGATGAAAAGATGGAATTGTTTTTAACTGTTTTTTCTTTTTCTTTTTGTCTGTAGTTTGTATTGTGTATTTTTCTTTTTAGTTTTAATTTCTTTTTTATTGATGTGTCTCTTTTTATCTGAAAAGGATCAGGCCAAGGGCCTGTCTGGTCCAGCCTCCTCTTTTCCCAGGGGCCACCCAGATGCCACTGCAAAAGCAGCCAACAGGATTCAAGCCCAAGAAGCAGTTGCTTCAAAGATCCCTTCTTTCTTGCAGGATCTCGATCGTGCACTGCTGTGGCTGCTGCCCAAGCCTCCCCCAAAAAGACCAGGTAAGAGGAAGGGAACCTTTGCATGGGGCAGGGAGAAGGCTGGGGGCCTTCCTACAGGGGTTGCTTCACTACAGCTCCCATTGTCTTTGACCACTGTCCTTCCCCCCCTTTTTTTATAAAAAAAACACAGCTTGAGGACTGAATTCCAGATTGGATAGATCTCAGCTGAAGGACTGTATTCCGGTTTCTGATTTGTCAGCTGCTGAAGCATTTGAAAGCTTTGATGTGATAAATAGAGGCTTTACAAATGTGAAGAGCGAACTTTTCCCTGTTCATCCTTTGGACACACCGGATAATTTTGTTGTTGCTAAATCAAGATAAGATGAATTTGTCTACTCTGAGAAATATACTGGGGCTGCATGCACCGCTGAAGCTGCAGATGGAATTCCAAGCAGTGAAGCAGGTCCAGCATCTTCCTTCCTAGTCCTAACTTGTCCCTGGATATCTGGAAAGGCAACTGTGACTGCATTGGTTTTGAGGATATTCTGAACGACCCGGCCCAGAGTGAAGGAATGGGAGATCCTCACATTTTGGTTGAACACAAACTTGGTTTCTTATAATGCGCACATTCTCCATCCTCCTGTTTCTTACCTGTGTCCCTGTGGGTTCAAGTAAACCATATAAGCAGTAGTTGTACAGCAGTTGTTTTGATACACACAATCTCTCACCTACTTTGATAAAAACAAGGCACATTAAATGCTTAAATATATTACTTTTGTTCTGTGTTTGCTGTCAATACAAATGTATTGTAAGTGGGTATTTTTTAAATTAAATTAACCACAAGGGTTGCTGTTATGAGGGAGCAATGAGCCACATATAGAATGCAACTCCAGACTGGATTATGCAAGAAATCACATACCAAACTGGAGCAATCTAGAACACAAAGCCCTGCACCATAATTGTCCACGGAGATGAGTGTCCTAGTTTTGCCACCTTGTCAATTTTCTCATCATCACCCTACGTGGATTGGAGGATATCTCTGAAGGGAGAGCACCCCTGAGCTCCTGGAGGGGGGGGGCGTCATTTGTCACAAAGGGCAAATGAAGCCTGTGAAGATCAAGAAAAGGCAACAATATTCGCCCTCCCTTCCCCACAGGTGGGCGGGGTTTGCGGCACTGAGCGGGGCTCACCTGGGCAGGTGCCACCCACCTGTTTGAGCCAGCCTTTGACCTGCCCTCGGCCAGGGAGGACAATGGCCGGCCGGCCGGGGGTGGGCCTAAGGCCAAAAGAAAAGAGGATGGCTCTGTTGCTCAAGCCTTTTTTGCTGTTCTTCCTTCCAGGATCACCCACCCACCCTCCCTCAAATTAATAATTTCTTGCCTCCATAATTTCATCCTAGGTCAGCGATCTTCAATTTAACGATTCTTTCCTCACAGGCTAATATTTTGCATTCCAGGTCAGCGGGAGCTGCTGCAGTTGTAAGATGGTTGCTGTATTCAGAAGCGGGAAGGAATTTTCCCTGCATTGGCAGGTTTCACCTTCCCTGTAGCATTTTGTCACAACTTTGGCGGTTTTTAGGCCTTGGCAAGGTATCCTTTAGTCTAACATCAAGTTGGGGGGGATGCATCCATGCTCCCTCCCCATGCGGCGGCGTTGGAGGGCCCATTAAAAGGCAAAAACCAGGAGTCCCTGGTCCTAGAGCAGCGGCATGTAGCTCGAACTCCTGGGACGAGGTCGGTGGAAGGGCATGCTGTGTAAGTTTGTGCTTTGCAGTCCCCTCTCACCGGGCCTCATCTGCCTGCATATCTTCAGCCAGGCGGGCTGAGAGGGTTATCTGCCAAGGCCTGTGCCAAGTTTCCCACTTCGGAAGTTCAATAAAGTTGTGGCCAATTTGAACCCATACTCTGGTCTCTTGTCTCATCATTTGAGGTAAAGGGGTAGGCACCACAGACAGGGTTTAGCGCGCGTGCCCGCAATGGATATTTATTCAGGCACTGCCAAAGAATCACTGAAAGGGAGAGTACTTTCAGCTCATCTTTAGTTCCTTTCCTTTGACTTTATAAGAAGTTTGTTGGCACAGTCCTCACCTTCACCCCTCAACCCTCCCATGTCTGATCTTCCTTTTAAATCTGCTTGTTGATTGCCAAAGCTGTAACCCCAGACTTTGCTTCCTGAAGAGTAGAAGTGTGAATCTGTATCCTTTTTGTTACCTGCTGCGCTTAGCACATCTCCAGACTTAATGATTGCTATTTTTGCTCAATTGCTTTTTGCTTGTGTACTTTGTGGAAATAGTTGCAAAGTGATTTTAAATATTTAAAGAAGCAGAATAGCAGCATGTTGCTCTCAACAAAATTACTGTGTCTGCTGGAACAGCTGCAATTTCATTACACCGGAAACTGCAAACACTGGAGAATCCCATGTTGAGGGGTTGTTGTTTTTTCAAAGCATTTGGAAAGCTTACATTTACATTATAATTAATGATTTTTTTCTTTTTCTTTTTAAAACCCCCAGAAGATTAAAAGCAGTATATAATTGGAAAGTGCCGTAGGCTCTGAGAAACAAAAAAACCCCTTTAGTTTAGAGATTAACAGTCAGTTTACAGAAAAGAAGGTAATGAAAGAGAAATTGAAACAACATTAATAAATCAGGGGAAGGCTTGGTAATGAAAGCATGAACTATCCCCAGAGAGAAAGCAGAGATCAGAAAGTAAAAGAAAATCAGTAGGTCAAAGACAGAAGCCACAATTCACTTTTTAAAAAAACCCAACACAACAAAATAGCATCTTTGGGAGTGCATTAAAGTAACTTAGAATGAAAGAATCATAGCGTAGAATTGGAAGTCCAACCCCATGTAATGGGGACATCTACACTAGCCAGGAAAGAAAACCAATTGCAAATGGATTGATTTGGAATCCTCAGTTCATGGTCCTCTCTGAACCCTTGGATTTTGATCAGGGAGGAACCTAAAGATGAAGAAGAAGACCCAGAGGGTGCTTCTTCTCAACCTGTGGAAGATGAGGAAGGGTTTTGGGTTGTAGCCTGCTGTGACAGAGCAAAGGATTTCTGAGAAGGAGGCAGGCCTTGCAAACTCCTCCAGGGAGAGGTGGTGCAACCAGGGAAGGAAGAAGACATGTCCTCTTTGAAGCAGTGCCAGCCCCTGGGCCACAAATCCTCACGAGAACAGGAATTTTCATGAGTAGTTGAGCCTTATCTGAACCCAACCCCAGACCAAATTGAAAATGGGGCAAGACTGGCTTTTCCTAGAAATGGCCACATTTCAAGATGAAACTGGAGAAAAACATTATTGGCCACAGCTGCTACCTATGTATCCAGGAACAAACCTGGGTCCAGGTACAATCCCAAATTCTTCAAGGAGAATACAGTGGAACCTTGGTTCTCGAACTTCATCTGTTCCGGAAGTCCGTTCGACTCCCCAAACCATTCAAAAACCAAGGTGCGGCTTCTGATTGGTTACAGGAGCTTCCTGCACTCAATCGGAAGCCACGTTGGATGTTCGGCTACCAAAGAACATTCGAAAACCGGAACAATTACTGCTGGGTTTTTGGCATTTGGGAGCCTATTTGTTTGTCAACTAAGCCGTTTGAGAACCAAGCTTTGACTGTACAATCCATCAAGAACAGGTTGAACACCGCTGTTCAGATCTGCCTTCTCTCTTTTCCTCACTACAGTGGTACCTCGGGTTACATACGCTTCAGGTTACAGACTCTGCTAACCCAGAAAAATGCTTCAGGTTAAGAACTTTGCTTCAGGATAAGAACAGAAATCAGGCTCTGGCGGCGTGGCAGCAGCAGGAGGCCCTATTAACTAAAGTGGTGCTTCAGGTTAAGAACAGTTTCAGGTTAAGTACAGACCTCCGGAACGAATTAAGTACTTAACCTGAGGTACCACTGTACTTTTGTCTTGTTGGGTGATTCTTCATTTTGTCTTTGCCAACACATTCATCCTCCCGAGTCACTTGACTATGTAAGTTTACCCACGAAAGCAGTCCTCACAGCAGCTTTTTGTCATTTGAGTTTATAACAAAAAGCACACCCAAGGGGTTAATTCTGTAGTGTTATTGTATCGCAAATTCTCCCAGCAGAATGAACAGATGGTTGCAGAGTTAGGCTTGTCCTTTTATTGTGTCTTTCTAATGTCTCACAATTGATTTGAGTTGGCATTCGATAATGACAACAATGTACGTGGGAAGGACTTCTTGTGTCTTATCTGTCACGAGACAGAGAAAGCTTGCCAGCCTTTAGTGCCAAAGAAATTTGTGCCAAGATGAATAAGATAAATATGGTGTCCTTCACATCTGTCCGTCTTTACATACATGTAAACATCAAGAATAGGGACGCGGGTGGCGCTGTGGGTAAAAGCCTCAGCACCTAGGACTTGCCGATCGAAAGGTCGGCGGTTCGAATCCCCGCAGCGGGGTGCGCTCCCGTCGCTCGGTCCCAGCGCCTGCCAACCTAGCAGTTCGAAAGCACCCCCGGGTGCAGGTAGATAAATAGGGACCGCTTACTAGCGGGAATGTAAACAGCGTTCCGTGTGCTGTGCTGGCTCGCCAGATGCAGCTTGTCACGCTGGCCACGTGACCCGGAAGTGTCTGCGGACAGCGCTGGCTCCCGGCCTCTAGAGTGAGATGAGCGCACAACCCTAGAGTCTGTCAAGACTGGCCCGTACGGGCAGGGGTACCTTTACCTTACCTTAATCATCAAGAATAGCATTGAATTCCACCCGGCTGAAATCCATACTGCAGTTCTGGTGCTGTTCATGGAGAAGGTGTTTCAAAAAATAACCACCCAGAGTAATGTAAGATGCGTGCTTTCATCTTTGTTGTAGCAAAGGCATGCAAGATGCGGTCCTTGCATGGCCTGGAAATGTTCCTCAGTCACCAAGGACGCAGCCCTACCTTATGAATTAAAATTTATATTCTTCTTGGTTGGGGGTGGGGCACTCTCAAAGTGGTGTTCAAATGGAATAAGACAATGAAACTCTCAGCAAAAACTGTTAAAAAGAACTATATGAAAGTTTAAAATAATAAGGGAAATAAGGAAATAAACAACTATCTGACTTTTAGAAGACATCTGAAGGCAGCCCTGTTTAGTGAAGTTTTTAATGTTTGATGTTTTATTGTGTTTTTAATACTCTGTTGGGAGCCGCCCAGAGTGGATGGGGATACCCAGCCAGATGGGCGTTCACATGTACTATTACGTTGTCGTCTTTATGAGGATATACGTTTGACTTTTATTACACCTGTTTTGCAAAAGTCCAGGAAAGAATCGGAACACCATAGTTTAAAATTACTGCTAGAGGACAAGAATCCCAAGACTACATTAAATGTAGCCAAATTCTGTGCGTCTGCAATTAATCGCAGGAAGCAAGTGGTATCCCATAGTGACCAAACCCCAAATGTTAATTACAGGGGCACGCTAATAATTAATTTTAATTTTTATATTTAAATCCTTGTTATATTCATATTGTCCTCTGTATTTCTGATTTTTTTTTTTAATGATCTGTGATATTGTGTGTGTTGACGCTGGTCTGTGACCGTATTAATAAATTCATTCATTCATTCATTCATTCATTCATTCAACTGACCAATTTCTCAGCTATGGAAACCAATTCACCCACAGTGCCTCCATCTTGCCAGAAATCAAGTTCAGCTTATTCCCCCCACCCCATTCATCTCATCACTGCATCCAAGTAGTGGTTCGTGGACTGCATGACCTCTCCCAGTTCAGATGTTATGGAGAAATAGAACAGA